TCCACAAGTGACCGCAATGTCCGGTGGTGCACCAATCTGCAGCCAGGAGCCAGGAAGTTCTTCCAAATGTCCCACACTGGTGCAGGATCCCAAAGCTTTGGGCCGTCCTCTACTGCTTTCCCAGGCCACAAGCAGGGAGCTGGATGGGAAGTGGAGCTATTGGGATTAGAACTGGCGCCCATATGGGATCCCAGTTCGTTCAAGGCGAGGACTTTAGCCACTAGGCCACTGTGCCAGGTCCAGCTTTATCTTTTATCTGTGGACATTTATTTGAAGTCTGATCTCCATAGGGATGTAGTGGTGACTGAATATTTTGATTTAAATAAAAGCATTAATAATATCACATAAAGATGGAGCTTCTAAATGAACAAAAGTAATTTTGATGACACATTCCTAGATCTTTTTAACCAAACATTATATTTAAATCATTTCTCAAATTTGACCTACCAGTGCTTGGGGACCTTGTTAAACATAAGCATTCTTGGGGTGAGGCAGTGATGTGGTAGACTAACCTTCCACCTCTGGCATTGGCATCCCATATGATCACCAGTTCATGTGCTGACTGTTCCACCTTTTTTGGTTTCTTTTTAACACTTCATTTCTTTATTGGAAAGGCAGATATACAGAGAAAAAGTGATACAAAAAGAAAGATCTTCCGTCTGTTGGTTCACTCCCCAAGTGGCCACAGCCAGAGCTGAGCCAATCCAAAACCAGAAGCCAGCAGCTTCATCGAAGTCTCCCACACTGGTACAGGGTCCTAAGTCTTTTAGCCGTCCTCCACTGCCTTCACAGGCCGCAAGCAGGGAGCTGGATGGGAAGTGGAGCACCTGGACAGGAATTAGCATCCATATGGGATCCCAGCAGATGCAAGGCAAGAATTTAGCTACTAGGCCACTGTGCCGGGCCCTGACTACTCCATTTTCAGTCTAGCTACCTGCTTATGACCTGTGTGATCAGTAGTAGATGGCTCAGCTATTGGAGCTCTGTAGCCATGAGGGAGACCCAGAGGAAGCTCCTGGCTTCAGATCCGTGCAGCTCTGACTACTGCAGCCATTTGGAGAGTAATCAGTGGCTCAAGATAGCTTCTGTTTGTCTCTCCTTCTCCTTATAACTCTGTGAATCAAATAAAAATTAAAAGTACAGCTTAAAAAAAGAAAAGGTAAGCATTCTTGTGCCTCACTCCAACCTGTCACCAGGGGAGATACTTGGGAATCTGTATTTTTAACCATTTTAAGAAGAGTCAAGGCCTCTGTAAATTCCATTTCATTTTGGAATCTTGACCGCATCTAGAAAAAAAACTTAGGTTAAGGATAGGAAGGAAAAAATAACAGAAAAGGATGGTGAAAGCAGGTGTGTTGGGAGAAAAACTCTTCACATTTGTAACAATTTCTCTTTTTTTTTTTTCCTTAAGATTCACTTCTTTTTATTGGAAAGGCAGATTAACAGAGAGGAGATACAGGAGGAATATCTTCAGTCTGCTGGTTCACTCCCCAGAAAGCCACAATGGTGGGAGCTGAACCAACCCGAAACCAGGAGCCTGGGACTTCCTCTGGGTCTGCCATATGGGTGCAGGGCTTTGGGCCGTCCTCTGCTGCTTTCCCAGGCCACAGGCAGGGAGCTGGATGGAAAGCAGAGTAGCTAGAATACAAACCAGTATCCACATGGGATCCCAGAATTTGGGGGAGGAGGATTAGCCAATTGAGCCATAGCGCCAGGCCCTAAAAAGGCTTCATTTTTTACCATGGCCTTCTCAGAGTCAAAATGGAAAGAGTCTTGGATGCCTGGATAAAGACTTTCGGATTGCTCTCTGTTTTATTAGTGATTTCCTAAATGAAATGTACAGTCTGAAGATTTGGATTTTAAGGAGAAATCTTGTCATGTCTTCTCCCAAAAGGAGATAATTGAGTTTTGCTAATAATTAATTTGAAAGGTGGTCAGGTGCCAGAACAGCCACAATATCCTGAAGGAAGAGTAATGTCTCCATGAAAAGGTTACCTGCTGTTGTGAATTATTGTGATTCCTGTGTATAGATAAGTGCAGGGATTTCTTTTTTGGAAAAAAATTATTCATTTTTATTTAAAGAGCAGATTTACAGAGACAGATTTTTCATCTGCTGGTTCACTCTCCAAAGGGCTGCAATGGCCACGCTGAGCTAATCGAAAGCTAGGAGCTTTTCCAGATCTCCCACTCAGTGCAGAGTTCCAAGGTTTTGGGGCATTCTCTGGTGCTTTCCCAGGCCACAAACAGGGAGCTGGATGGGAAGCAGAGCCGCTGGAACAGAAATTGGAGCCTATTTGAGATCCTGGCACTTGGAATTTAAGACACTGGCCATTGAGACATCGAGCCAGGCCCAGGTGCCAGTGTTTCTAATTTAAACTGTTCTGAACACTAAGAATGTTAAAAACAATAATAGAAATACAAATAAACAAGATAATGTCGTAGCGCAGTACCAGTGTAACCTGATTCTGTGCTGAAGTAAAACCGATGATGCCAGTAAATCTGACAGGAAACTGCCATTCCCCCAGAAGTGAGAGTCGTTAAAAAGATTATTAAACAGTAGTCAGTACTGAAAGCAAAGCACTCTATGATATTAAATACATATTTGCTTCTACTGTCACTTGTAGGTATATTATACCATTACTATGTGTTGGATTTTAAAGTGATCGTAATTTTAAGAACTAGCAGCAGTGGACTTTTAGACTTTGGATTGTAAGATTCCCCATCACGCATCAGAGTCCTGGATCTAGCGCTTTACTCCAGCTTCCTCCCATTACAGACCCTGGAAGAAAGCAGTGAAGGCCAGTCATTGCATTCCTGCAACCCACAGAATGAGACCCTGGCTCCATGTGGCCTCACTGCAGGCATGTGGCTGTGAACCAGCAGAAAGGAACTCTGTCTTCTGTTTGTCCCTGCTTGCTCTCTCTCAAATTTAAAAGACAAAACAGAAAAAATAAAAATAATTTTAATTGGAGTCATTAGAGTTCAGATGTTTTTATTTAGATAAGCCATTTCTTTCTGTTTTAGAAAATATTACTGTAGGTAACCTAAGATACACCAGGGTGGACTGGAAAGGCTCCAAGATAACTCAGGAAATTTAAGGGAGCCTGAGAAGATTCCTTTGTCTCTGATTTGTGATCATTGTCTGTGTCTGGCCAGGGTAGCTTTTTGTTTTGTTTTGTTTTTTTGTTTGTTTTGTTTTGTTTCAAAGTCAAATAGAGAGGAAGCTCTTCCATCCAATGATTCACTCCCCAAGTAACCTCAATGGCCGGTGCTGCGTGGATCCAAAGCCAGGAACCAGGAGCTTCCTCCAGGTCTCCCACACGGCAAGGACCTTAACCACTAGGCCACTGTGCCAGGCCCCAGTGTAGCTATTTTGATCTATTTTTAATGCATTAGGATTCTTACTAAGCATCTATTTGTGGGAAGGGTCTTACTCATTTTAATGAAGGTATAAGAACCTTTCCTGCAAATGTGGGAACAGCTAGAGCACTTCAAACCCAAAAGTGAACTGATAGAATTTTGAAAATGTAACAATGCTGGCAGATTTCTTTCCCAAGAACAATAGCTAGGAAGAAGGTAGAACATCAGTTTTCAGCTATGCTTACCTGATTAATAAGAGTATTAGTCTAAGACCTGAGTGAATAAAAGAATATTTTAGAATTATTGGTGAAACTTAAAAACTGGCAAAATGTTTTTCATATAAGGACCTATCTTGGGGGACCAGCGCAATGACTGTAGTGTCTTATCCTCCACCAACAAGCACCAGCATCCCATATGGACACCAGTTTATTTTCCAGCTGCTCTACTTCCCATCCAGCTCCCTGCTTGTGGCGTAGGAAAGCAGTGAAGGAGGGTCCAAAGCCTTGGGAGCCGGCACCCGGGGTGGAGACCTGTTAATGGTTCCTGGCTCCTGGCTTCAGGTTGGTAGGCCTAACCATTTTGGGAAGTGAACCAGCAGATGGAAGGTGCTTCTGCCTGTCTCTCCTTTCAATAAATTTGCCTTTCCAATAAAAATAAATCTTTTGGGCTCAGCACGATGGCGTAGTGGTTAAAGTCCTCGCCTTGCACGCGCCGGGATCCCATATGGGCGCCAGTTCTGGTCCCAGCATCCCTGCTTCCCATCCAGCTCTCTGCTTGTGGCCTGGGAAAGCAGTCAAGGATGGCCCAAGCCCTTGGGATCCTGCACCCACGTGGGAGACCTGGAAGGGCTCCTGGCTCCTGGCTTCGGCTTGTCACAGCACCGTCCATTGAGCTCACTTGGGGAGTGAACCATCCGACGGAAGATCTTCTTCTCTGTCTCTCCTCTGTATATCTGCCTTTCCAAAAAAAAATTTTAAAATAAAAATCAATCTTTTTTTTTTCTTTTCTTTTTAAGGCCTTCCCCCCTATGAATCTATGATTGAGTAATGAGTTTGTATTTCTTGATGTCAGGTGAGATTTAAAAGTGCTAGTCAGATGAATAATTACTAAGTATCATATTTTGGGAGAGTGTAAAGTCAATTCATTTGTATCTTTTTCAAAAAAAATCAATTTTAGTCACTAAACTCTCATGTATGTTAAAAAGTTGCTTAAGTATTGCATAGTAATTCTAGTGTTTAGATGTGCTTATATTTTAAGTTAAATCAGAACTTTAACTTCTAATGCAAAGGTTGGTGACTCATTCCTAAAAACTTACCTGTTCTTTTGGTAGGCATATAAATTGAGGACATTCTAGGAGAACACTTCACTGAATATTGGCTTTATTTTTCTACAACCTTAAGCTACTGTTTTGTTTGGTATTACTTGTTAGTGTCAAAACTATGATTTCAATGTTAATATTTTATAAAACTTTCAGAGTATAAAATATATCTCTACAGTATTACATTAATGTACATTAATTGTGCATACCAGAGGGCTTTTACCATTGCTGTGCTGTTTCTAGTCCTCTTGATTTTTATTTCTACTTTTAGTTATTTTCTAGTGTGGTGATACAGAAATTTCATTAATTTATTTTTTAACAGGATACATTAATTGTTTGGTCAGAAGCCGAGAATTATGATCTGGCTCTAAGTTTTCAGGAAAAAGCTGGCTGTGATGAAATCTGGGAAAAAATTTGCCAGGTAAGAGTTTTTAAAATGACACTGAAGTTTCAATGCACTTTTTTTAACCTCTGAAGGTGTATTCATATTGTGAAAAAATAATCTGTAGTGTGAAACAGTGGCAGTCTAACCAAGGATGTTTTATATTCTGCAACGAATTATTTTACTTAAAATTTAAAAGGAAGAAACAATTTTGTTTTAATGTGCAGTCTGGGAAGTAGCCAATGATGCTCAGTTATTTGGAAGCCTGCCTCCCGTGTGGAGACCCAGGTTGAGGTTAGGACTCCAGGCTAAGGCAGAGGCGGGCACCCAAGCACCTGATTGTACCTACTGCCTCCCAGAGTGCACAGTGCAGCAAGCTGGAAAATCTGAAGCATAAGCCAGGACGCAATTCCAGACACTGTGACATGATACACAGGGGTTCCGAACAGGCAGTCTTAACCACTGCTCCAAATGGCCACCTTGGCTTTAGTCTTCATAGAAGCTTTTCCACCTTTGGAAGGAATTTTAGGTTTGGCCACACTCAACAGTCCAGCAAGGGGGCCCGGTGCGGTGGCACAAGTGGTTAAGGTCCTCGCCTTGCACGCCCGGGATCCCATATGGGCGCCGGTTCTAATCCCGGCAGCCCCGCTTCCCTTCCAGCTCCCTGCCTGTGGCCTGGGAAAGCAGTCGAGGACGGCCCAAAGCTTTGGGACCCTGCACCCGCGTGGGAGACCCGGAAGAGGCTCCTGGCTTCGGCCCGTTGCGCTCACTTGGGGAGTGAATCATCAGACGGAAGATCTTCCTCTCTGTCTCTCCTCTCTGTATATCTGCCTTTCCAATAAAAAAATAATAAAAATAAATCTTTAAAAAAAAAAAACAATCCAGCAAGGTTAATTCTTCACTGTATAACTCAGTATTATACTGCATGAAATTCTGCAGAACTATATTATTACATTTTACATTTAATTCTAGTAAGTCACTGCTGATCATCTCTCTCCCCCTTCCAGTTTTTATATATTTGAGAGTTAAAGACACAGCCCCCATGTGTTCACTTAACACATTGGCTTGGGCTGGTATAGCTGGGAACATAATCCAGGGCTCCTCAGTGAGTGGCAGGAACTGCGTTAGCAGGAAACTAGGTTTATGAGCTGTAACTGGAAACTGAAGACAGGCACTCTGATGGAGGACATGAGCAAAAGAGCTGTGCATCTCGAAAGAGGATCAGAAATACCCAGTGGATAGCACGAAATACTGTCTGCAGATGCTTGAGGTAATGTCGGGTTAATGGGTCAGATTAGTGAAAGCTTAGGAGAAAATCCCAGAAATTTTGTGAGGAGTGGGGGGGGGGGGTGGGGGCGGGGGGGGGGGGGGGGGGGGGGGTGGTGGGGGGGGGGTGGGGGGGGGGGGGGGGGGGGGGGGGGGGGGGGGGTGGGGGGGGGGGAGGGGGGGGGGGGGGGGTGGGGGTGGGGGTGTGGGGGGGGGGGGGTGGGGGGGGGGTGGGTGGGGTGGGGAGGGGTGGGGGGGGGGGGAGGGTGGGTGGGGGGGTGGGGGGGGGGTTGGGGTGGGGGGGTGGTGGGGGGGAGGGGGGTGGGGGTGGGGTGGGGGGGGGGGGGTGGGGGGGTGTGGGGGTGGGGTGGGGGGGGGGGGGGGGGGGGGGGGGGGGGGGGGTGGGGGGGGGGGTGGGGGGAGGGGGGGGGGGGGGGGGGTGGGGGGGGGGTGGGGGGGGGGGGGGGGGTGGGGGTGGGGGGGGGGGGGGGGGGGTTGGGGGTGGGGGGGGGGGGGGGTGGTGGGGTGGGGGGAGGGGGGGGGGGGGGGGGGGTGGGGGGGGTGGGGGGGGGGAGGGGGGGTGGGGGGGGGGGGGGGGGGTGGGGTGGTGTGGGGTGGGGGGTGGGGGGGGGTGGGGGTGTGGTGTGGAGGGGTTGGGGTGGGGGGTGGGGGTGGGGGGGGGTGGGGGGGTTGGGGGGGTGGGGTGGGGGTGTGGTGTGGTGGGGTGGGGGGGGTGGGTGTGGGGGGGGGTTGGTGGGGTTGTGGGTTTGGGGGTGGTGTGGGTTGGGGTGGGGATTGGGTGTTGGTTTGGTGTGGTTAGTTGTTTGGGTGGGGTGTGTATTGGGTATGTGTGTTGTAGTTGGGGGTGTTGTGGTGTGGGTGTGTGTTTGGTGTGGGAGGGAGTTGTGTTGGGTGGTGATTGTTTGTTGTGATTGGTTGGGTAGTGTGGGGGTGGGTTTGCGATGAGGTTGGAAGTCAACATCTAAGCCTCTCTTGTGGTCGCTGAGCAGGCGTCACGGCCAATAACACTGTGGAGGACATTTGGGGAGTAAACCAGAGGAAATGGGATCTCTGTTTCTCCCCCACTCTGTCACTTTGCCTTTCGAATAAATATTTAAATATAAACAAAATAGACTTTATATCTTAGAAGCCTTAGGATCATAGCAAAAGCAAATATTTTTTCAGAACTAAGTTGCAAAAATTTGAGAAAATCATGTTTTCTGACGCACAAAGAATGAGTTTTAGTTTAATTGAACTCAGTATTGCCCTTATCAAGTCAGTGTGATGGGTGTAGTAGGTTACTGTAAGAGTCATACTTAGGGTCTGGCACAACCGTTCAGCCTCAGAGCGCCTGTTCCAGAGCCAGCTGCTTTGCTTGCATCCAGCTGCTTCTTCACTGCTCCTGGCAGGGCCAGGTAAAGATGGTCAAAGTGCTTGGGCACCTACCACCCCTGCAAGATACCAGCATGGAGTTCCTAAGTGCTTGCTTTGACTGCTTAAACCAACAAGTGAAAGATATCTCTTTCTAATAATTTTTTTTGTTTGTTTTTAAGTCATACTGATTTTGAAGGCAAACAGCGTTACCTGCTGCAAAATTATTGGGTATAATGAAGTTATTAGAAAATTATTCATTACTACATAACTTCAACATCATAACTTCACATCAGCTGAAATTTTCAGGTTTTCGTGGATCAGAATTAAATTGAAATATTTGTAGTTGAAATAATCTGCAGCTAATGAAAGGTTTATTTTAATTTTATTTGAAAGAATTAAGAGAGGAGAGACAGAGATCTTTTACCTGCTGGCTCACTCCCCAAATGATCAAAGAGCTAGAGCTGAGCTGATCTAAAGTCGAGAGCTTCTTCCGGGTCTCCCACATGGGTGCAGAGGCTCAAGGACTTGAGCCATCCTTCACTGCTTTCCCAGGCCCCAAGCAAGGAGCTGGATCATAAATGAAACAGCCAGCACATGAACCAGAGCCCGTATGGAATTCCAGTGCTGCAGATGGAGGCTTAGCCTACTACAGTACGGCCCTGGCCCCAAATAATTATACTTCTCCCCACCAGACTTCACTTTCTTCTTAATTTCTGTTAAAAGAACAGATTTCATCCATCTTAGATACAATTGTGAGACAACCAACTTCTCCCTCAATCTTCTTCCTTTTATTTTTGCAATAACGTAATTTCAGTTTACTTAATTAAAATCACAAGTTTAATACACCATTAACTATAGTGTGCAACAAGTAAAAAGTAGAAAAACCATATAGCGTGGAAATATAGACAAGGACTATAAACAATAATCAAATGATCAGATGTCAGTTTCTTTCTTATACAATGTGTTTTTATATTCTATGCTAACTACCATGTATCAGAGAAAACACGGTATTTGTGTTTTGGGGACTGGCTTATTTCACTAAGCATAATGATGTCCAGTTGCATTCATTTTGTTGCAAAAGACAGGATGCATCCTTGTTTATGGCTGAGCAGCATTGCATTGTGTATGTGTAACACAATTTCATATCAAATCATTAGTGGATGGATATTTGGGTTGATTCCATATTTTATTATTGTGAGACTCCACAACAATAACTCACTTTTCATATGATTTTTTTAACCTAAATTCAGTTGTCATTGGTTTGATTTCCAAAAATGTTTGTGTGTGTGTGTATATATATATATATATATATATCAAGGTAATTAGCTCTCATTGGATAATTTCAGGTTCAAGGTAAAGACCCGTCTGTGGAAGTGACTCAAGACCTTATTGATGAATCAGAGGAAGAACGATTTGAAGAAATGCCTGAAACCAGTCATCTGATTGACCTGCCTACTTGTGAACTCAATAAACTTGAAGAGATTGCTGATTTAATTACCTCAGTTCTCTCCTCACCTATCCGTAGGGAAAAGCTGGCTTTGGCCTTGGAAAATGAAGGCTATATTAAAAAACTTCTGCAGCTGTTCCAAGCATGTGAGAACCTAGAAAACACTGAAGGTTTACACCATTTGTACGAAATTATTAGAGGAATCTTGTTCCTAAATAAGGCAACTCTTTTTGAGGTTATGTTTTCTGATGAGTGTATCATGGATGTTGTGGGATGTCTCGAATATGACCCTGCTTTGGCCCAGCCAAAGAAACACAGAGAATTCTTGACCAAGACTGCAAAGTTTAAAGAAGTTATACCAATCACAGACTCTGAACTAAGGCAAAAAATACACCAGACTTACAGGGTACAGTATATTCAGGACATCATTTTGCCTACCCCATCTGTTTTTGAAGAGAATTTTCTTTCTACTCTTACATCTTTTATTTTCTTCAACAAAGTTGAGATAGTCAGCATGCTACAGGTAAGTAACCTGAAATATTTATCATAATTCTGTTTTCACATAGGCTGGTTCCTCAATAGTTCAAACTTGTATTCATGCTCTTTTAATTTTAAGATTTATTTTGTTTACTTGAAAATAAGTATTTTTTGGTTTATGAAGGAGAATAATTTTCTAGTGTATCGACTTCAAAATTTTGTTTATTATAAATGAATTCTCATATCTGCAAAACTTGCCATTGTAACCTCTTATAAGTATAAAATTCAAATACATTAAGTACATTCACAGTTCTACACAACAATCACTGTCTCCATTTCTACAACTTATTCATTATCTTAAACAAAAATTCCAATTACACTTAAAAGTAATTCCTTGTGTCTTTTCCCTTGTGGTAACTCCAATTCTCTGTTTCTGTGGATTCATCTATTATATGTACCAACAATGTAGCTATTTTTATTTAATTCTGAATTACACATTTATTAAGATGTATCTGAGTATGTATGCTTTCAAGTGTGCATTGAGAATTGAGAAACTCAATATTTTTTATAAAGTAATGTTATTTGCTGTATGTTCATTTAATTCTTTCTTTGAGTTCCAGAAAAATTTTCTGCCATATTATTACATGTTGAATTTTTTAACCTAATAGTATAGGAAGCCAGCATTTGCAGATTTTTATTTTTTTAATTGGAAAATCAGATACACAGAGAGGAGGAGAGACAGAGAGGAACATCTTCCATCCAATAATTCACTCCCCAAGCGGCCACAACAACTGGAGCTGAGCTGGGCTGATCCAAAACCAGGAGACTCTTCCAGGTCTCCCATACGGGTGCAGGGTCCCAAGGCTTTGGGCCGTCCTTGACTGCTTTCCCAAGCCACAAGCAGGGAGCTGGATGGGATTAGAATCAGCACCCACATGGCATTCCGGCGCATGCAAGGCAAGAACTTTAGATACTAGGCTATAATACTGGGCCCAAAAGACTATAATTTTATATTAATTAGATGTAGCCTTATGGAAATAAAGTCTTTGCTTATTTTTCTTCCAGAGAATGTGTGTGATGAAATAGCCAAATACTGTAAGCTTTTTTTTTTTTTTTTTTTTTTTTTTTGGCTTACCTTTTAATTGTCTTATATGGCAACAATAATGCCTGGGCCACCTCCCACTTCCTTCCTAGGCTCATTAGCAGAGAGCTGGATTGAAAGTAAAGCAATTGGGACATAAACCTGAAGCCCATGTGGGATACCAGCATCACAGGCAGAGTGCATTGGGCCACAGCTTCCGCCTCCAATTTAGACATTTTTCCAAGCAGTCCTTTTCTCTGTCCCCTTACCTTTCTCAAATAAATAAATAAAACAAAATACATTTACTGCTATATTTTTCTGTTTGTTTGGAAAACTGTTTAATTTTTATTTATTTGAGAGACATAAAGATAAAACTCTGATAGATCTACTGATTCACTCCCCAGATACCCACAAGGAAGCCTTGAACTGGGGGTGGTAACTCAATCTTGATCTCCAGTGTGGGTGACAGAAGGCAGCTAGCCGTTACCTGCTGCCTTCCAGGGTATCCAGTAGCAGAAATTGGAATTGGGGTCAGACTCAGGACTCAAACCCAGGGACTCCAATATAAGTTATTGGCATCTCTAGCCCAAAGGTCCACTCCTTTCACACCTTTTAATGTCTTAGAATCATCACAGTGAAAAGTGTTTTTTTTTTTTAATTTATTTATTTTTATTGGAAAGGCAGATATACAAAGAGGAAGAAAGAGAGAGGAAGATCTTACATCCCATGGTTCGCTCCCCAAGTGGCCACAATGGCTGGAACTGAGCCAGCCCGAAGCCAGGAGCCTCTTCTGGGTCTCCCATGCAGGTGCAGGGTCTCAAGGCTTTGGACCATGCTTGATTGCTTTCCCAGGCCACAAGCAGGGAGCTGGATGGCAAGTGGAGCCGCTGGGATTAGAACCTGCACTCATATGGGATCCTGGTGCATTCAAGGCGAGGACGTTAGCTGCTATGCTCTCACACCAGGTCCTAAAAGTGTTGTTCTAATGTTTTATCATTTACTTAGCACAAGAACATGTTAAGACTCCACTCCAGTTGACCATGTACAATTGTATTTCTTGAATCCTTCTGTTTGGGGTTTTGTTTGTCTGTTTGTTTTTTAAGATTTATAGATGTATTTATTTGAAACAGAGTAGCTCGCCAAGTGATCAGAAAGGCTGGACTAATCCGGGCTAAAGCCAAAATCTTCATCTGTATCTCCCACATAGATGTCAGGCACAAAAGCTTGAGCCATCTTCCGTTGCTTTTCTCAGGCCATCAACAGGGAGCTGCCAGGACTTAACCCAGCTCCCATGTAGAATGTCAGCTCTCCATGAGTTCTGTTTTAAGTGGCTTTGTGATATTAACCTGCTGCCAGAATTCAACTTTTCTTTAAAAAAATTTTTTTTTTTACTTATGCAAAAGGCAGCATAACAGAATGAGGGCAGGAGGGGAGAGAAATCTTACATTTGCTGGTTCCCTCTCCACATGGCTGCAGGGGCCCAGCCACTTGTATTTTCTTAGGCTGCTTTCCCAGGCACATTGGCAGGAAACTGAATTGGAGGTAGAGCAACCTGGTCTTGAACCAGCACCAATATATAATGCCAGCCCCCAGAATACAGCATTTTTATTCTGTTGTGCTGTCTTGTTATTCTTGATTTTCAAATTTTCAGTGGAGTAACAGATACTCAGAATGTTTTGTTTCGATTAAAACTAGATGTAAGTGACCAGTTACATAGAATAATAGGCTAAATCAGCTTGCAGCGCTAACATCCTATATGGATTCTTCTCCTGGCTGTTCCACTTCAGTTTCAGTTCCTGCTAATGACCTTGGGAAGCAGCAGAGGATGGCCCACATCCTTGGACCCTTCTGTTCATGTGGGAGACCTGAATCAATGAATTCTGCTCCAGCCTTTGTGCCCATTTGGGTAGTGAACCAGCGGATAGAAGTTATTTCTCTATCTCTCTCGTTCGCTCGCTCTCTAAATCTACCCTTCAAATAAAAATAAAACAGGTTTTTGAGATAGAAAAACTTGATGAAGATCCTTCAAAGGGCTACACATCATCTCTAAAACACCTGTTTCTGTTTTCCAAGATCTTACTAATTGAAATAGGTATTAATGTGTATATACCTAGGATTGAACGGTGCAAACTAGGAAATTTTAGCACAAATCTGGAATTTCAGGTACTGCTTTTTCAGCTACTTTTAGTTTTTGTAAATCATTTCAGTGCATGTAACTGTACTTTGTGATATTTCATAGTACTTATTTTTTGCACAGGAAGATGAAAAGTTCTTGTCTGAAGTTTTTGCACAGTTGACAGATGAGGCTACTGATGATGATAAAAGGCGTGAGCTGGTGAGTTATCTATTCTTGAAATTCAAAGTCTTAGAACTCTTGTGCAGCTTCAAAAATTTAAACAATGATTAGAAATTTATATAATTAGCATCAATGAAAGATATGTATTTAATGGAACCATATTACTTAAAATATCTAAAATTTGTTAGTTTAGAAAATGTTTGTTTCTTGAGGTTGCCTGCACTCATTTCTTGAGTGTTGAAACTCCCTTTTCTTTCAGTAAATTTTGCTTTCCTGCTTACCTCTTAAAAACCAAAAAAGAGGACCTGGCGCAGTAACCTAACCGCTAAAGTCCTTTCCTTGCACACACCGGGATCCTACATGAGCACTGATTCTGCCCCACTTCCATCCAACTTCTTACTTGCGGAGGACAGCGCTGGGCCCTGGGACCCTGCACCCACATGAGACCCGGAAGAAGCTCCTGCCTTCAGATTAGATCAGCTCTGGCCATTGCGGCCACTTGGGAAGTGAATCAGCGGGTGGAAAGTCTTTCTCTCTGTAAATCTGTCTTCCCAGTAAAAATAATAAAAATATTTAATAAAGAAAAATAGGGATAAATCATTTATTTGAAAGGGTTTTTTTCCTTTTACACTGTGTTTGAAGCAGGGAGTTGGGGAATGACAAAGCCATATTTAAAAGATAGTGATTGCTGTTTACTATCCTTTTGCCATTTATTTAACCGTTGTAATTGGATTTGGAGATTTTACAAAGTAATGAAAGATCACTGTCTTAAAACCATCTGGGTTATCTTTGGTGCGGTTGATAATAGCCTAGTTTGATTCCCATTTGTAAAAGTGTTGAAGCTGGGAATCTCTGCTGTCCTTTGGAAATATGTTAGGAGTTCCTTGGGAACCTAGTAACAGTATCAAAGGATGGGTTTTATGAAAATGTCTTACATAACATTTTTGTGTAATCTTCAGTGTATTAGTGTTTGATATTAATGAAATGCTAGTTTTTATACTCAGTGTGGGTTTTGGTAGCCAAGCTACTCTCAGAATACAGAATTCTTCAGAGGAGTGGCTTCTACAGTGTTGTGGTGTTGTAATGTACCTTGAGTGTGTATCAACTTGTCACTGTAATTTTTAATATTACAGGTTAATTTTTTCAAGGAATTTTGTGCATTTTCTCAGACATTACAACCTCAAAACAGAGATGCGTTTTTCAAAACTTTGGCAAAACTGGGAATCCTTCCTGCTCTTGAAATAGTAATGGTAATTATGCTGTTTATTTTCATGTTTATGAAATTGTGGGTTTGTAATAGCTTTTTATTCTGAATGTGAAAATGCTTGTTATAATGAAGCATATTGAGTACTATAGTTTATAATTCAACAGAGACAGAATTTCTGTTGAAATGTTGCCAGTTTTTTTATTTTAATTTATAGTGTCAGTGTATAGTTTTTCATATACAGTATGACCAAGTGACTAGTTCTCCCATGTCTTTGCAGCACCGCTACCTTTTCTGTAGCAATATTGAAAATTTTCAAAGAAACCACAGAAATATTTCTCCTTTATACAAGTTTTTTTTAAGCAGAACAAACTAAACCAAGTTGGCTATTTTCACAGTATGTGTCATTAGGACATGGTTCTTGGATATTTCTTTATATGATTTATATTCAGTGTTATAAAAACTTAGAACAGACACGTTGAAAGCATTGCTAATCTTAAAAGAATCACCAGTAAAATGTTAAAATATGTAAATTTCATGAGAAAAATACTTTTTCTAGAAAATTAGTGTTACCATTTTACCTTCTTGTGGCTAATCTGTTTAATGTGTGCCATGCTGGGATATAACCAATTTCTCCTAGCAGCTTCAACATTTAATTAATTACGATACCACATGTCACATATTTTCTGGAAAAACCTCACTTGAGTTTATTATCCAGCTTAGTGAAAAAGACGAACAAAGTCTAAGTATTATTTATTAATACGAAAATAGTGTTAACTGTATGCACTTTCTGAAAAAGGTGTTTAAGACCTGTTGCTTAGGATTCCCTGAACTACACTTTAAGAATGGCTGGGTGGGCCCGGTGGCATGGCCTAGCGGCTTAAGTCCTCGCCTTGAACACGCCAGGATCCCATATGGGTGCAGGTTCTAATCCTGGCAGCTCCACTTCCCATCCAGCTCCCTGCTTGTGGCCTGGGAAAGCAGTAGAGGACAGCCCAAAGCCTTGGGACCCTACACCTACGTGGGAGACCTGGAAGAAGCTCCTGGCTCCTGGTTTCAGATAAGCTCAGCTCCAGCCATTGAAGCCGCTCGGGGAGTGAATCATTGGATGGAAGATCTTCCTCTCTGTCTCTCCTCTCCTCTCTGTATATCTGACTTTCCAATAAATAAATAAATCTTAAAAAAAAAAAAAAAAAGAATGGCTGGGTTAACTAAAGTAACTTGTGAATCCTATATCCTTCATGTGTTGTAGGGAAAACCCATTTAGCAAAGGATAAAAATGCTCAAAATGGTTTTTTCTATTTATTTGGAAGATGAAATTACCGAAAGATGTGGAAATTTAGGGGGAGGGAGAGAGGAAAGAAGGAAGAGAAGTCCTGCACCCACTGGTTGGGCCTCAGTGGCCGTGGTGGGTCAGACAGAAGCCAGAAGCCTGGAACGCCTTTCACATCTCTTACCTGGGTGGCAGACCAGCACCTCGCTGTTCCAGGAATCCACTTGACCTGCTGCATTTCAGAAAAAGCTTTTTCTGGGCCATGTGCAGCAGCCTAGCAGCTAAAGTCCTCACCTTGCATGCACTGGGATTCCATATGATACCGGTTCTAATCCTGGCTGACCCACTCCCCATCCAGTCTCTTGTTTGTGGCATTGGAAACTAGCAAAGAATGGGCCAAAATCTTGGGACCCTGCACCCATGTGGGAGACCTGGAGGAAGCTCCCAGTTCCTGGCTTCAGATTGTTTCAGCTCCGGTGATTGGCAGGCACTTGGGGCGTGAACTAGCGGATGGAAGATCTTTCTGTCTTTTCTCTCTCCTCTCTATAAATCTGATTTTGCAATAAAGTAAATAAAATAAAATGTGATAAAATATATTTATATAAACATAAATTATGTATTACTTATAAAATATAAGTTGTATAAAATAAAGCTTTGGCCCATTCTTGCTGCTTTCCCAGGCCACAAGCAAGGATCTGGATGGGGAGTGGGGCGACAGGGACATGAACACACATCCATATGGGATCCCAGCACTTGTAAGGCAGGCACTTTAGCCAATAGGCTACCGTGCTAGGCCCTCAAAAAATGCTTTCAAAGAACATTTTCTTTTAGGAAAATACCAGAAGTTACCAGAGTAATCCCAGCAAATCCAGGAAAAAAAAAAAAGATTCTGACTGGCTTAGAGGATGTAAGGGATACTGTTCAGATTTTGCATGTATTTAAATAAACTCCATCTCAGATTTCTTCTAGCATTTTTAAAGTATTGCTTTATAATCCTATTCTGTTCATTCATGTAAATTTTTTGAGTATTTCATTTAATATTAAATATTTATATGTGTCTCAGCTGATTTTTAACCATTGAACTGCCCAAAAGATTCAATATTTGTGCAAAGGAAGAAAGTAGATGTTGAAGCAGTTACATGTTTTGATGCTATGTGATATCTTAAACCTAAAAGATGATAGACTACATGAGCTTGAAAAACTTCAATGCACAGTAAGTAACTCACCTTTTACTTTTTTACAGGGCATGGATGATTTGCAGGTCAGATCAGCTGCTACAGACATCTTTTCTTACCTAGTAGAGTTTAGTCCATCTATGGTCCGAGAATTTGTAATGCAAGAAGCCCAACAGAGTGACGATGTAAGTAATAGTGCTGACTTATATGAGTTACCTATAGTGTGATGTTTACAGACAAATAGATTTATGCTCAGTTGGCCTTTAGTATCTCATTTTTGGCAATTAACTTGTTTTTATGTAAAGAAAGAAATAAGTATCCAAACCACATGTATCACTCCCCAAATGCCTGCAGTAGCTGGGTCTGGGCCAAGCCTGAACTAGGTTTCTCAGTAGGGGAGCACTCACCTGCTCTGTCCTGTGGTGAACATCAGCAGGAGGCTGGGATCTCAGGCAGAGGCAGGTCTGAAACATAGGCACTGCCCTGTGGGGTAAGGGGGCCTCAATTCGCATCTTAATATTAAACCAGACACCTGTCCCTCCATGTATTCTTATTGGTTCCATAGTTTCTTCTATTTAATTTTCAGTTAAATTGCATTGTGGTTAGAAAAAACAGTCAACAGTGTGTTGAGCCTTATTTTGAGGCCCGCCAAGTGATAGGTCCTACAGAATGTTATATTGTTGTTGAGAAGGATGTGTGTTTTGCAGTTGTTAAAGGAAATGTCCTGTAAATTCCAGTTGATTTAGAGTGGAATTTAGCTCTTCTGTTTCCTTGCTGATTTTCTGTGTGGATATTCTGTACGTTGCTGAAAATGGACTATTAAAAGTATTACGGTCCCCGTATACTTAGTGATGTTTGTTTATGTATTTAAGTGTACTGACTGTGTGCAAATGGTTACAATGGTTATTTCTTGCTGCTGAACTGAATCCTCCATCATTATATAATGATCTCCTGTGTATCTTTATTGCATTTAGTTAAGATCTCCTTTGAGTAAGTATAGCTTCTGCTATTTTCTTTTAGATTCCACTTAACATGGAATATTTTTTTCTATCCCTTCACTTTGGATATCCGTAGAGGTGAAATAAATTAGTTGAAGCTTACTGTGTTCCACTCAGTCACTTTGCACCTTTACGTTGGAGAATTTAGTCCATTTACAATTAAAGTGATTGTAGATTGACAAGTCTTACTGATGTCATCGTGGAACTTCTAGTTTCTTTCTCCTGTTTTCCCCCTTCACCGTCCTTCCTCACCTTCCTCCTACATCTCACACTTTCCTTTGGTATTTGAGTGATTTTCTCTAATAGTGTATTTTCATGTCTTGATTACTGTTTTTGGTGTGGCTGTTAGAGGTTTGTGCTTTGTGCTTACCCTGAGTTTTATAGAAAACAACTTGATTATGATTTACTCATTTATTTGAAATGAGTGAGATAGAGCAAGAGAAGGAAAGACAGGTTGAGATTTTCATTTTTCCATCTGCTGGTTCACTCCCTAAGTGACACCAAAGGCTGAGATTAAGTCAAACCAAAGCAGGAGCGTGAACTTCTGGGGGGTCGAGGCACAGGCATTTGGGGAAACTTTTACTGCTTTGCCAAGTGTGTCAGCAGGGAGTTAGATAGGAAGCAGAACAGCCAGGACTTGACCCAAGCACTGATACTGAATGCTGTCATTGAAAGAAAGCACTGGCTTAACTTCCTGTGCTACAATACCTCTGTAAGTTGTTTTGGACTGTCAGCAATGTAATTTAATTCATTAAAAATAATAAGAAGAAAGAGAAACTAATAATAAAGATTCCACACTTCATTTCCTCCATAATTTTTAAGTTTTTGATGACCTGCTTCACAGCTTTTTATATTAGCAGCTTAACATACTTATATAGTTAATTTGAATTTTTTTCTTTCAGTCTTCATATAAAGATACAAATGCCTTTCACCATGTTTGGCATTGTTAGAAATACTCTGAATTCGTCTGTTTACCCTTACCAGTGAGTTTTATACCATCAATGTTCTCTTTATTCCTAAAAGAGCTCTTCTGGCACTTCTTGTTAAGACTGGTCTGGTTTTTGTCAGCTTTTATTTTCCTGGGAATTGGTGTTCCTGATTAGGAAAAATTGTTGCTTCTGGTTTTATTTTAATGATTGCCAAAGTGCTGTTGAATTAAATTACAATTTGTTTTGTGTCCAATTTTTTAATGTCTCATGATGCTAAATCTGACCTTAAAAAATAATTTGTAAGTCTTTAAAAAAAATTATTTATCTATTTATTTGAAAATTAGAATGAAGGGAGGGACAGAAAGATCTTCCATCCTCTGATTCATTCCCCAAGTAGTCTTAACAGCCTGAAGTAGACCAAAACCAGGAGCTTCATTCAAGATTCCAGTATGGGTGTCAAAGACCCAACACGGGCCATTTCTGCTGCTTTTGCCAGAGTACAATCTAGCATCCCTGTGGGATACAGATGTCATGGGCAGTATCTTTGCTCACTGTGCCACACACTGATCCATGTCAATCCTTTATAATCTCACTGTTGGTGAATTTTATATTACTACTAGCCTTTTCAAAAGAACTGTTGAGATTAGCATTCTCATTGCTCCATCCAAAGTGATGTGTTTAATGAAAGTAATTCATCATAAGATGACCACGAATGTCTTTTACACCATGAACCTAGTAAGCAGTTAACTCATAGAATCTTTTTTTTTTTCCAAAGACTTATTTGACTTATTTATTTTTATTGGAAACTCAGATATACAGAGAGGAGGAAAGACAGAGAGAAACATCTTCCATCCAATGATTCACTTCCCAAGTGACCGGCAACGGCTGGAGCTGAGCCAGTCCGAAGCCAGGAGCCAGGAGCTTCTTCTGGGTCTCCCACGCAGGTGCAGGGTTCCAAGGCTTTGGGCCATCCTCCACTGCTTTCCCAGGCCACAGGCAGAGAGCTGGATGGGAAGCGGGACTGCCGGGATTAGAACTGATGCCCATATGGGCCCTGGGCGTTCAAGGCGAGGACTTGAACCACTACACTATCACTCTGAGCCCTAACTGCTAGAATCTCAACTCTTAAGATTTGATTTCTGTTTTTATTAGAAATATTTATTTAGGTTTCGTTGATACATAAAATGTAGAGAAGCAGTTACTGGGGTTTTTTTACTGTAAAAAATTCTTTGCTCAATTTCTATCTTTTTCAAGATTTATTTATTTTATTTGAAAATCAAAATTACAGAGAAAAGGCGGGAAAGACAGACCTTCCATCTACTGGTTCCTTCCGCAAATGAATACAACAACCAGAGCTGGGATGGTCCAAAGCTGAGAGCCAGAGCTTCTTCCACGTCTCAAATGTGGGTATAGGGGCTAGCCTCTCCTGCTTTCCCAGTCCCAGGAATTAACAACGAGCTGGATCAGAATTGAAAGCATTCTAACATTAAGATGATGGACTCTGTGACAATGTTCATGCCTACATTGTCAGGAAACACTTCAGTAACAGCATGATGGACTGAAGTCCTCATCCTGCACTCTCCAGAATCCCATACAACGCCGGTTCCTGTCCCAGCCACACCCCTTTCCATCCAGCTCCCTGCTTGTGGCCTGGGAAAGCAGTCGAGGATGGCCCAAAGCCTTCGGACCGTGCACCCACATGAGAGACCTGGAAGAGGCTCCTGAAATAAATCTTGGAAAAAATTTTTTGAAAAAAAAAAAAAAAGAATAAGTCTTTGACATTTAGAAAAGGTATTTGGCATTTGTTTGTTAGTAGTATGTTCATTGTCACTGTGATGAAACTGCTTGTATATGAGTTTTCTCATCTAAGTGAAATTACTTTTAGAGAATCAGGTTGAAGAAAAAAAAATTGGATTTTTCCCGAGGTGTTTTAGTGTCTAAAGAAATCCACCAGATAGGGGCTGGTAGTGTGGTAGGTAAAGTTGCCACCTGAGACATTAGCATCCCACATAGGTGCTGGTTTGTGTGTGGGCCATCCACTTCCTATGTAGCTCCCTCCTAATGGCCTGGGAAAAGCAGCAGAAGATGGCCCAGGTGCTTGGACCCCTGCCACACCTGTAGGAAACCCTAGGAGGCGGAGGAGCTCCTGTCTCCTGGCTTCAGCTTTGGCCACCCTGTCTGTTGAATCTTGAAAGAAAGGGAAGGGGAGGAGAAGAGAAGGGAAAGTATGTGAGGAGGGACGGGGAGGTGGATAGGATGGGAAGTGGGGAAGGTTGGTTTTATCACATTCTTGTGAATGCCAAAGTCTGTGGATGCTCAAGACCCTTACATAACATGGTGGTAGTGTTTGCATATAACCCATACACATCTTCCTATATATTTTAAATCATCTCCAGATTCCTTATATAATTTCTAATACAATTTAAATTGTGTGTAAGTGGCTGCTGCAATTGTATATGGAATATGATAAGGGGGGAAAGTCTACATGGTCTGGTGATAAATTTGTGTTGTTGTTTGGTTTTTTTTGTTTTGTTTTGGTTTTTTTTCAGTATTTGATTCACAGTTGGTTGAATCTGTGTACACCCTGAACCTAATAATAATGTATGATGGTGGTCCCGTGAGATTAGAAAGTAGTCCTGCTCGTTGAAAGTTGCTATAAGATAGTACTTCAGTTAATGCCCACAGCTTTGTAGCCTGTGATTACTTTCACCTGTCAGTCATCTTTTGCTCTTGATTTGTTCTTACGGTGTCCTGTTGCTCATGTCTCTGCAGAGTGGCCATCTGCATCGTATACATGCATTGACTACACACATACCGTGTAGCTGACATTGATACAGTCTGTACCATCCATGTTACACTGAGTTCTCTCTGATGCTCATAACGCCATTTCTCAGAATTTATGTAACAATGAAAAAGTAGATTATTAGGTAACAATGTTCAGTCATCCACCTGCAATGAAGAACTGCTTACTGGATCCCCCCTCCCCTCCGCTTTTTTTTTTTTTTTTTAATTTGTTTTGTTTTTGCTTAAAAGCATTTTCTGGTCAGATGATCTGCTTGCTTAGTTAACCTGTACATTCATGCCTGAGGCTAACTGTGATGAAAATCTGTTAGAACCTGCGGAGGACAGGTCAATGGAGATTGCTTCCGCTTCCCTATTAGCTTCACATGCTTTCTGTGTGAAATACTGTTTTTCCATGCAACCATGTACCTAGAACTTTGAAAACATCAGGGAGAAAGAAAGCTAAATAAACCTACCATTACTTGTTTATTCTTGGTCTGACTTTGACATAATACTTGGCATTGTAATGTTTGTGTTGCATCAAAACAAGTCTAATGGAAAATGTTTTCTTTCAGGATATTCTTCTAATTAATGTACTAATTGAACAAATGATCTGTGATACTGACCCAGAACTTGGAGGTGCTGTCCAGTTAATGGGACTTCTTCGTACTCTAATTGATCCAGAGAATATGCTAGCTACAACTAATGTAAGAAATTGCCTTGAGATTAAGATGCTTTAGCCATTCGGTTTTAGATGGTTTTGTAATAAAATTTGAGTTACTGTGAATATGTCTGTAAATATTTGTCACATATTTACAGCAATTTATTTGTAGAAAAAATTATATTGCGATAAAATCTTAGTAAAATGCTAAGGATACCAGTATTGGTCTTTGGCCTTTATTTACTCATTTAAAAATTGGTACATAATATGAAAATACTTAACACTGTTCATCTGTGCACTGAAAAATTTAAATAAGATGGTAATATATTTTGTCTTACAATAAAAAGAAGAAAATATATAACAAATCATTTCGACTGTGTAAGTCATAAATATTTATAGAATTATTCCAAATTGTTAATGCTTATCAGTGCAGACATACTTTTTTTTCCTTCAGTATTAGAAAATATATGCATTGCTTTCAAATCGTTATAAAGCTCTGTGGGTCCAATTGCATAAAACATAGTGGCTAAAAATTAACATGTATCATTTTATACATTGTACAGATTTGAAACTAAATAAATTTCATATATTCATCTAGTGGCTTGATAAATTAATTCAGTAGTTTGTTTGTGTTTTTAATTTTTGTTTGAAATGTAGATTTACAGAGAGAATGAGACACAGTCAGTGCTGCGTCAATCCGAAGTCAGGAACCTAGGAGCTTCCTCTAGTCTCCCACACCACTGCAGGGTCCCAAGGCTTTGGGCCATTCCCCACTACCTTCCCAGTCCACAGGCAGGGAGCAGGATGGGAAGTAGAGCACCCAGGACATTAATGCCCGTATGGAATCCTGGTACATGCAAAATGAGGATTTAATCACAAGGCTGTTTTGTGAGCCTAAAATTCATTCAGTAGTTTTTCAGATATTGAAGAGGTGAAATCTGTGGTTTCAAAATTCAGGCAGCTTTTTCATGTGGCTTAGGAACTGGTTTTTATTTTTGTTTTAATTTGAAAATGTTTTATTTATTCTGAAAAACCAGGTTTGAATGGGAGTTTTTGTCACTATTTGTAAGGATGAGATAGTCTTATAAATTTGTGTTGCATTTTTGGGGAAAAATCAGAACATTGTACGAAATGAGACAAGTGTATCAGACCTTGTTATTAACATTAGCTACCATGTTTTACAAGATTGTTTCTTTGTCACATTCTATGTCACATTTTCTAAACAATTTATTCCGAATGACTTGTCAGAAAAACCTATGCTGTGTGATTGTCTTTCTTGTTTTCATTTCTTTTTCACGTAAAATATGCAACAGATTTCAGTTCTGCATTAACAAAAATGAAGTGAACTTAATTTTTTTGTTCTTCCATGATATATACATAATTTTTAGATCTTTCACAGTATCTTAGAGTAACTATTTGTGTATAACCCTTACTGCTAATTCTTGAAAATGTTTTATTAATTTCAAAAGTAACAGATTATTCTTTCTAATTCTGTTTCAGAAAACTGAAAAAAGTGAATTTTTAAATTTCTTCTACAACCATTGTATGCATGTCCTTACAGCACCACTTTTGACCAATACTTCAGCAGACAAATGTGGAAAGGGTAGGCTCTCCTTATTTGTTTATGATTTTTTTTATAGAAGGATGAAATAAATTTGGAAACAGGCTGTGTACTTGTTTTTTATGTGCTAAAGAAAGTATTTCTTAAAAACTTAACCTGCAATATAAAATCGTGATTTTCTTTGTTTTTGAGTCTCTGTGAAAAAGATTGATGCACAAAATTTATGCTTTGAAAAATAGAGATGCAAACACTTGGCAAAAAAAACATTTCTCTAAAACTGTTAGAATTGACATCTAGAGTGACATAGGGGCAGACACTATATTGCCTATGTTAGAAAAAAAATACCTTAAGGGAACCACCATTTCTCAGAGCAGTTTGACACAGTGAGGTGCAGTGAAGGTCCTCTTAATTCACAGCATGGGGAGTAAGGGTAGGTGGGTTAATCAAACAAGTGGGTTAGAGTAAAGGAAAAGATGTTTTTGAGAGACATGAATTCTTTAAATGTACAATATCAGTTTATTAGGGCAACTTGGATTTTTTAAAATACATATTATTGTATTTCTATATTCCCTCTTTTTTTTTTTTAATAAAATTTAGCCATAATTTATTAGCTGCGATTTCTGGCTCTAAGTATCCTTAAAAGTTTTGGTTACAGACACTTGTTTTGCTGTCAGTTTGTAAACTAAGTTCTATACTATTGAGTTTATCCATAAATGGGAGGGCTTAACTTTCATCAGTCTGTAATACTGGGTATCTAGTAGTTAAATGCCATAATACAAGGTATCTCAGAAAGTCATGAAAATGAAATTAAAAGGTAAGTCCATTTCAGTGCAAAAAAGTGTATCAAATCCATATTTTTCCGTAGTATGTGTTCAGTATAAGTTTTCTGAAGATGTCTCATGCATACTAGCATAAACAAAAGATTTTTATAAACATAACTCAGTTGATAAAATCAAATATGTGAAGACATGCAAGGCTGTTAGTCAGCCTCTGAGAATGGTGGTTAAGAGGAGGCCCTTCAGCAGAGTGTTTGCAAAACTAGTTAATTAGGGTTATGGAAGGAAATTAGAGTATGTTGTGTTTCTATAGTGAAATAATATATATAACATCTGAGAATAATTAAAATTAATTTCAACATATCAACTAAGAAAGTTGAATGGATGTAGAAACATGCTCCATTCCTGTAACTCAAAACAGTGAATTTTTAGTATTAATCTCAAAATAAAATACTTCTGGCATACAGAAATATTTAGATAAGATAGATATAACAGACACCCATGTATTAACTTGTTTTAAACCAACAGCAGATTTTTTTTTTAGACTTTTTCCAGTTATAAAACCATTGCAGATAGAGCAGTGGTTTGCTGTGTACACTTCTTCATTCTCGTCCCGCTCTTCCATTCCTCATTCCAGTCTCCTATCCCGCAAGAGATGCTCAATTTGGAGCTTACCACTTTTTTTGTATTTTTTTAAGATTTATTTTTATTAGTAAATCAGATATATAGAGAGAAGGAGAGACAGAAGGGAAAATCTTCATTGATTGCTACACACGTTAGCAGGGAGCTAGATCTGAAGCAGCATCCGTATTGTATGCCAGTGCTACAGACGGAGGATTAGTGAACTACACCAGAGCTCCGGTTCCTAGTTAAATTATTTTTTTAAAACAATCTTTCCAAGGTATACCATAATTTTTACATTATTTTGGAATTTTTAGAGCTCCATTGTTTTGTGTGTTTTGTTTATTTTGCTTATTTGTTTATTTTGTTGTGTGATAAATAGAAGAAACTGAAAGATTATTATCAGCTTTTTAGGAGTTTTTAATTTTTTTATTTCAAATACGAAAAAATAAAGAAAAATTTTGAGAAATACTGTGCTGTATGGTTTTTTTAAATAAATCCACATCTGTATTCAGTTCTGTTAAAGACCTTGGGTGTAGTGTTTGACCAGCACAGTCAGTGTTCAATAATTATCATAAGGAGATAATGATTGAAAATATGATTTGTATTAGATATGTCATACGATATTACTTTGATAACTGATTTTTATTTCTTTTTATTAGATAATATAATTGAATCTAACAAAAACAACACAGTTTGTCCTGGTAAGTAAATATAAGTCTCAGGAAAATGTATTTTTCAACCTTAAAAAAATCCAAGAATATGTTTATATTTTCCTTTGTTTCAAAGGAAAAAAAAATCCACTTCTTCCAGTGTAAAAGAAAACAAATGGGACTTTGCTTTCTGTTTTTCTTTTTAAATTTATACTTTCCTGTATTTCATTATTTTCAGAGCATACTGTCTAAAAGTTGAGGACACAATCCTTTTTTTAAATCTACTTAACTAAGACCTTTTACTTGGGAACTAGTCTTTGTGATAATTAAAACTTATTATCTGTGAATTGGAATTTGAAGCACTGTTGTTTTTAACTGGAATTAGTACATACAAAATAGATATGGTAGCATTGATACCTGTGGTGTGTGCACCTGCTCTCTTTCCTCTGCCACGGGTTCATCAAAGCTGTAAGAGAGCCATTTTCTAATGAGTCATTAAGTAGGGGAGTAATGTTTGGCACTGTAGATCATTATTATAAATGAAATCTGAAAATTGAGAAAAGAATCTATTTTGTCCTGAGAAGCACATGTTATTCTTTACTTGTACTGAAGGTTTATTAGATGATTTTTTAATGTGTTCCATAAGGCTGTGATTCCATAATTTTCTTACATCTTAATATTTTCTTGGCCAAAGCATGAATACCACAGTGTGAAATTATCCTTGACATACATTAAAATCTGATGTTAAGGATGCAGTATGAAATCTTTCCATGAATTTGCAAAAAATATTATTTAGCTCCATTTTTCAGCAAATTTTTTTACTTGTCTTCATACAAACAAAATCCTCTTGAACAGGAGTGGCAGGGGGAGCTTGTTTATTTCTCTAGGGTGAACATTATGAGTTGATATTTTAAAAATTGATTACAGAAATATTGACTTGATTTATTCACATGATAGTAAAGTGACCAAAAATACTCTTTCCTTTGTGTCTTCAAATCATTTATTTATTTTTAAGAATGTATTTATTTTTTAACTGAAAAAAATCAGTTACAGAGAGGAAAAGACAGAGATCTTCCATGCACTGGTTTACTGCCGAGTTGGCTGCAGTGACCAGAGCTAGCTGATCCAAAGCGAGCGGGCAGGAGCTTCAGCCACGTCTGCTATAAGGGCTGACAGCCCCAAAGCCTTGGAACAGCCTTCCCCGCTTTCCCAGGCACTAACAGGACCTGGATTGGAAGTAGAGTCCAGTACTCAAACTGGCCTCCCATTGGGATGCCAGCTTCACCAGTGGAAGGTTATCTTGGTACATGGTAATTTTTTTGTAGATCTTTTCGTATATGCATTAATACTGATTGCGCTCATTAAGGAAACATAACAAAGAAACAATCTGCCATTAAGATTTTGTTTGCCTGCCTGAATTTTTGTTTTGCTAACATTATTAAAATAGCCTATTTGTTTGATATGTAAAATTGGTGATACTTTCAAAAAGTTTACTAGTGAAAATGTAAAAATATGTGGCCTGTTGCTATAAAAAGAATATATAATTTAACTTCTCTAAAATACAAAGTGTAAGATTTACTTCTGATATACAGTATTTTCACGAGGTAAATTTTCTTTTGTAGATAATTACCAAACAGCACAGCTACTTGCCTTAATTTTAGAATTACTCACATTTTGTGTGGAACATCACACATACCACATTAAAAACTATATTATGAATAAGGACTTGCTAAGAAGAGTCTTGGTCTTGATGAATTCAAAGCACACTTTCCTGGCCTTGTGTAAGTAACACTTTTAATGAATATTGTTGTAAAGCATATTGGCAAAAGCTGACGTTACCTATCTGGAGTTATTTTTTATTTTTATATATTTTATATATATTATAATTATATAATTATATAATATATATTTTATATATATTATAATTATATAATTATATAATATATATTTTATATATATTATATGATTTTAGGAAATCCTACTCTTGTTTCCTGTTCTTGTTTCAGGACTAAGAATGTGAAAAATTACAGTAGTTCCCAACCCACTTCACACTCACGTAAAAATACCTTTAGATTAACTTCTGTGCTGTAGTGCCGTGGGCAATGGCAGTATCGTTGGCAGCGCTTATCTGGGCTTTTACGTCTACTTCCTCACACTATCATTTAGTACTGACATTTTATACTTTTCCTGACAATTATTTCGGCATTGATTTTTTGCAAACGGACGTTATCATTTATTTTGATAATTTCATCTCCAAATAAAAATAAAGAAGCCCCTTTCTCCTAAGTGAAAAGAATCTTTGTAGTTTTATTCTGACCACAAAATGCAAATATTTACTTTAAAAAAAAAGTTGATCTCTCTAACTTCCTTTATGTTTATAGCCTTAGAATAGCCAGTGTTATTGCCTGCATTATTTCTTTTCATTACTTTCAAACCTTGACAAATTTACAGAAATATTTCACACACAAAAGGTGTGGTTTTTTTTTTATTTATTTTGTATATTTTTTAACATAGTTAAGATGGTGTATGCCCATGTAGACCACTGATTAGGAATAGAAGGGTCCAAGTGTAGGGGAAAGTATATGAGACAACTGCTTCCACTTGTTTTTGTTTTGTTTCGTTTTGTTTTTTCTTGTTCTTCCTGTGTCCAGGAAAAGGGGAGAGGGCTGCTAGCAACAGCCTAACCACATCAGTACCTGGGCATGGAGGACAACCACTGAAAGTCATCCAAGAGTCCCTAATGTGAGCATGTTCTGAGGGTACTGCTTAAGTAGTTTTGATTTTGTTGCTCCAAAATTGAGGAAATTCTTCCAAGGATTTCCTTCCATTGCTGATATAGTCCACCTTAGAATCTCCACTTGCCAAGATAACTGGCCTTCGAGGCTTGACCAGGAGAGTTGTCCAGTTTCTTCTGCCCTCCATCCTCCATCCTAGTACCTACCACGATGCTAGAGGTCTTCTGCAGGCCTCGCTGAGCTGTCATAATTTATTTTTATAAATCAGAATCATGCTAACACGTTTCTAAAACCCTTGGTAGTGCTCTAGTTTGATTGTTAACTGTGTGGAAGATTACTTTTTGTTCCAGAATTACTTTTTGTAGCAGAATGACATTTCCTACTGTGGCCCTTAAACTAATTGTTTTGCCATTATCCATATTACAAGATTATCTTTTAAAAAAGAAAGTTTGTTTACTTGAAACTCAGAGTTATAAAAAAAGAGGGAGAGACAGAGAGATCTTCCATCCACTGATGCACTCCCCAAATGGCCAGGGCTGGGTTGATCCAAAGCAGGGAGCCAGGAGTTTTCCTCCAGTTCTTACACAAGGGTGCGTCGGCCCAAGACATTGGACTGTCCTCTGCTGCTTTCCCAGGTACCTTAGCAAGGAGGTGGATCAGAAGTGGAGCAGGCGGAGCATTAGCTAACCACACCACCATGCTGGCCCCAGAGGATTATCTTTTACATACTGATTTATTTCTTTATATGTTATAGATTCTCAATAATGAACTTCCCACTACAAAATGATTTTATACTTTTGAAAAAGAAGTTAACATATAGCTGTGATTGGCCAGGCGTTTGGTCTAAAGTTAAACTGGGTGAAGAAACCCACATCCCACAGCAGAGGGACTGAGTTTCCAGTTCTGGCTCCTCATTCCGGCTTCCATGATTTGACATAATTTTCATTTTTATTTGTTGTGAATTGCCTGCTACCATTTTCTTACAAAACTTTGTATTAACAGTTCATCATGTTTTAGTGGGAAATTTCCCAGTCTCATTTGTCTTTTGTCTTTGCCTCTGTTTACGATACTCTTTTTCCATGGAACTGTTAAAAATTTTATTATGTCAGATATGTTTTTATTTTGCTTGATGAGATTTTTTATCTTTAAGAAAGTCCCCATGATTATACAAATGTTCCCCTCCATTTTCTTGTAATATTTTTATTACTTACTTTTTTACATTTATGTGTGTAATACATCTAAGATTTGTTTTTGTGTATGGCTTACAGGGTAAGTCCAGCTTAGTTCTTTTCTACACAGATAGCCAACAATGTCAAGTATGTGTATTAGCTAAACTGTGTTTGCTGCTGAGTTGAAACATCATCTTTGTTACACAGCAAATTAACTTCCATCCTGTATATTGCTTTCTACTGTCTGTCCTTCAGTTTCCCCAGATGAAATGATCACTCTGCTGTTTCCAAAGCCAACCCTGCTGTGTCCTCATCATGGTTTCATTTGTTCTTTCGTAATAACTTAAAACTAGTTTTCCTAGTTTATCTTAAATAGTTACATTATTATAGTTCTGTACTTACTTATAAAGGATCTATGTTCTTCAGTGTTCTTTTTTTTTCTTTTAAGATTTATTTTAGGGCCTGGCGCGGTGGCGCAAGTGGTTAACGTCCTCGCCTTGCACACTCGGGATCCCATATAGGCGCCAGTTCTAATCCCAGCAGCCACACTTCCCTTCCAGCTCCCTGCCTGTGGTCCGGGAAAGCAGTCGAGGACGGCCCAAAGCTTTGGGACCCTGCACCCACGTGGGAGACCCGGAAGAGGCTCCTGGCTTCGGATCGACATAGCATTGACCATTGCGCTCACTTGGGGAGTGAATCATCGAACAGAAGATCTTCTTCTCTGTCTCTCCTCTCTGTATATCCGTCTTTCCAATAAAAAAATAATAATAATAATTTATTTTTATTAAAAAGTCAGATATACAGAGAGGAAGATCTTAATATCCACTGATTCATTTCTGCTCTCCTGAGGGGACAATGGCTGAAGCTGAGCCAGTCTGACCTGAAGCTGGGACCCTGGAGTCTCTTCCCGGTCTCCCAAGCAGGTGCAGGGTTCCAAGGATTTGGCCTGTCCTCTGCTGCTTTCCAGGCTGTTAACAGGGAGGTAGATGGGAAGCAGGACCACTGGGATTAGAACCGGCACCCATATGGGATCCTGGAATGTGCAAGGTGAGGGCTTTAGCCACTAGGCTACTGTGCTGGGCCTGGATCGATTTTTTTTTTTTTAAAGATTTATTTATTTATTGGAAAGTCAGATTTATTTATTTATTGGAAAGTCAGATATGCAGAGAGGAGAAGAGACAGAGAGGAAGATCTTCCGTCCGATGATTCACTCCCCAAGTGAGTGCAACGGCCGATGCTATGCCGATCCGAAGCCAGGAGCCAGGAACTTCTTCTGGGTCTCCCACACGGGTGCAGGGTCCCAAAGCTTTGGGCCGTCCTCGACTGCTTTCCCAGGCCACAGGCAAGGAGCTGGATGGGAAGTGGAGCTGCTGGGATTAGAACCGGCACCCATATGGGATCCCAGGCACGTTCAAGGCGAGGACTTTAGCCGCCAGGCCACGCCACCGGGCCCATGGATCAATGTTCTTGTAATGAGTTTTCTTAGCTTTCTCGAAGTAGTTTTTGTTTGTTTTTTAAGGGAATTTGTTATGAGTTAAATAATGAACAAATATGAAAATAAAGAACTGAAATTATAATGCTTTGTGCTCTGTAAGAATTTTAGCAGTTACGATGCAAAGTTTATGTAGCTAGGGAAAAGATAGTTAAAGGGAAAATTTTCTTCTAAAACGTAAAACAACAAATCACATTCTTATATAGTCTGAACTTCCACAGTACACATTTACCTAAGACAAATTAGTAACATTCAACGGGTAAACAAAGGAGTAATTTCATTGTATTGCAGAAGAATTGCTGGCTTATAAATACTTTTTTTCTATGCAAGGGAAGATAGAATAATGAGAAAGGAAACTCTGAAAGGAAAAAAATCTTTATAGCTCTCTTGTTATATTACTGGCAGCAGGAGGACCTTAAGCTATATTTATAAAAAAATTAAAAGATATATATTAGCCTCCAAAAGCTTTCTACCCGCCCTTTCACCCCACCCCATTGTCCCGGAAGGAAGCATAGACTCGACTCCTGTCAGGTTATCCCACTCCTGTCTCCCCGTCTTGGCAGCCGCCCCCCATTCGGAGCTGCCATCACCGCACACTCAGCACCCAGTAGCACCCATGTAAACGACCACCATTGTAGAGGTTTTATAGGTTTTGCTTCTCTCTGCCATGGACCTGCTTGCGTTGGACATTATCTCTTTCAAGTTACTGTATTTTTTGTTAGCTCTGGCACTGTGCTGTACAGGGTGTTTTTGTTTTTAAAGATTACTTATTTGAAGGGAAGAGGTACAGAGGGACAGGGACAAGGAGCCAGCTTACACAGGCTGGTTCACTCCCCAGATGGCCACATAAGAAACCTGGTGCCTGGAACCTGAGTCTCCATTCCACCTTCCCACACAGCAGGCAGGGGCCCAAGCAATGGAACTGATTCCATTGAGTCCACAGGGGCACATTAGCAGGGAACTGGATCAGAAGTGGAGCAGCCAGGACTTGGTCATTGCTCATGTGATTTACTGGGATCACACACGGCACCTTAACCCACGAGGTGACAATGCTGGCCCCAAGTTGTACAGTTTTTGATTAGTCGTCCTTTCTAAGTGGTTTTCTTCATGGTCACCTATTTTTAGTGAACAGATTTATTTTCATTTTGGAAAAATCATAATTGCTTTATGGAAGAAATATCTGAATATTATGTAAGATCATCATCTTACTGTTTTATTTTTACTTAGGTGCTCTTCGTTTTATGCGACGGATAATTGGCCTTAAAGATGAATTTTATAATCGTTACATCACCAAAGGAAATCTGTTTGAACCAGTTATAAATGCTCTACTGGATAATGGAACTCGGTACAATCTATTAAATTCAGCTGTTATTGAGTTGTTTGAGTTTATAAGAGTGGTAAGTTGATGGTAGAGAACATCACTGTGTAAAAATGTAAACAATGTGATTTCTTTACCCTTTTTTTCTTCAAGTTGTTTTACGCAATGTATCATAGAATCTGTTCCTATTCACCTAAAATTTAAAGAGTGATTCTATTTTTATTGGAAAGGCAGATATACAAAGAGAAGGCGAGACAAAGATCTTTCATCATCTGGTTCACTCCCCAGATGGCTGCAAAGGCCAGAGCTGAGTCTATCCAAAGCCAGCGCCTGTTCAGGTCACTTGCATGAGTGCAGAGTCCCAAGACACTGGGCCATCTAGTTGGAAAGAGCTTGAAGATAGTCCAGGTTAGAAGTATATTCTCGGGCCCGGCGCGGTGGCACAAGTGGTTAAGGTCCTCGCCTTGCACGCCCGGGATCCCATATGAGCACCGGTTCTAATCCCAGCAGCCCCGCTTCCCATCCAGCTCCCTGCCTGTGGCCCGGGAAAGCAGTCAAGGACGGCCCAGAGCTTTGGGACCCTGCACCCTCATGGGAGACCTGGAAGAGGCTCCTGGCTTCGGACCGGCATAGCATCGGCCATTGCGCTCACTTGGGGAGTGAATCATCAGACAGAAGATCTTCCTCTCTGTCTCTCCTCTCTGTATATCCGCCTTTCCAATAAAAAAAATAATAAAAATCTTTTTTTAAAAAAAAGAAGTATATTCTCTACTTTTATTTCTTACAAATTAGATTTTGGCTGATGACGTCCTATTCTCATATGAAGGTAATTTGGCTGACTGGATTGTTTTTCTAAGCAGTGGTCATTTGCCATGTTTTCCTTTAAAAATTTAGTAAAATATTGATAAAATGAAACCAATTCTGGTTTCCAGCATTGAATTTACATTTTTCTGAAAATAAATTTGATTAATTGAATACATTAAATCCATTTTGCCTAGGTTTCTGATTTTTCATTTAATTTTTTTTTTGGATGCTGTGTATTGAGATGTCCAAACAAACTAGTTTCAAGACTTAAAATCCTAATGCAACTAGGCAATAAATGTAGACTTTTTTCACAAAGTTAAGTATTGAAAGATACAGAAATAAACAAGTAAAATTCCAAGTAGTTTCCCCAGATTTATATAACATAGTTCAGGGGAAAATGTGCTTATTTTTATTTAGATTAGACTAACCCCCATCCATTTTTTTTCATTCTAAGATTTATTTTATTGGCTCAACAGGCTAATCCTCTGCCTTACAGCACCGGCATCCCACATAGGCACCAGTTCTAGTCCTGGATGCTCTAGTTCTAGTCCAGCTCCCTGCGTCAGCATGGGAAAGCAGTGTAGGATGGCTCAACTCCTTGGGCCACTACACCTACACAGGACACTGAGAAAAGGTTCCTGGCTCCTGACTACGATTGGCTCAGCTCCAGCCATTGGAGGCCATTTGAATCAGTGAACCAGCAGATGGAAGATCTTTCTCTGTGTCTTTCTGTAAATCTGTCTTTCAGATAAAAATAAGTAAACCTTAAAATTTATTCTAGTTTCATTTGAAAAGTAGGGTTACACATAGAGAAAGAGAGACAAAGAAAGATCTGTGTGGAAATGGCCACAATGGCTGGGCTGATGTGAAGTCAGGAGTTTCTTCTGGGTCTCCCATGTGGATCCAGTGGCCCAAGAACCTGAGATGTTTTTCTTCAAAAAAGAAAAAAAAAAGAAAGAAAGAGAGAAAAATCTAGGAATAATAATATTTACTTCATGAAATTCTTTTGAAGAACAAATGAAAGTATATGTAAATGTGCTTTTATAAATATTATAAATTGCCATGTAAATGTAAAGAATAAACAGAAGACACAAACTAAACTCCATTTACTTTTCAAATGTTCTTTATAGTCCCTCAAAAGGGCTCTAATGAATTGCCTCACCTTTTTCCAAGTTTTCTGTGGAGTCCTGACTCATGTATAAAGAAACAAGGACATTTATTTTTGGAAGGTGATTTTTTAAAGCCTTTTTAGTCATCTTTAAAACCATTTTAAAAAATTTAAAGTTCTTCTAATAAGCCATGTATTATATTTGAATTGTAAATTTTGTGCTTATACAGGAAGATCTCAAGTCTCTTACTGCACATATAGTTGAAAACTTTTATAAAGCACTTGAATCGATTGAATATGTTCAGACATTCAAAGGATTGAAGACTAAATATGAGCAAGAAAAAGACAGACAAAATCAGAAACTGAACAGGTATTGTTTAAGTATATTGCATTTATGGCCTACAAAATTACATCCAAAGCCATTTGTAGTTTAGATCTTACTTTTGAAATTTATAAAGGAATTATCTTTACAGTACTAGATAGCATAAGGTTGTACAAACAGGAAGGTAGGCTGCCCTCCCCTACCTTGCATTCATTATATGATGAGTTTCCACCCATATTGTAGGTTAAGATCAATGCTTGGTATAGTTTAGAACATCTAAAGATATTTCGGAATGTGTGGATCTGTATCTTTTGTCATCACTAGGATGATTGTGTCATAAATTACATTCCACAAAAAATACTTCAGTTCCTCACCTTTTCCCCTTAAATTTAATCTGAACATTCAATCACTACTCAATGTTTGTGATGTATTTCTTACAGTGTACCATCTATATTGCGTAGTAACAGATTTCGCAGAGATGCAAAAGCCTTGGAAGAGGATGAAGAAATGTGGTTTAATGAAGATGAAGAGGAGGAAGGAAAAGCAATTGTGCCACCAGTTGAAAAATCTAAAACAGAAGATGATTTTCCTGATAGTTACGAAAAATTTATGGAGACTAAAAAAGGTATTAAAATTCTGAATTTCTCTGTACTGCATCCTCATGTTAAAAATGCTTGTTAAGAGTGTCAGTTGCTTGTGAAGGTCTGGTCAGCACTTCTAAAACAAGAAATATATAAATTTTATATGGAAAGATGTCCTTCGAAAATAACCTTTTTCCAAATCTGTATAGGAATTCTCATGTGTAAGATGTTTATATTATTCAGATGCTGTTTATAAATTGCTTGCTCTACTAATACCTTGCATTCTTGGCTTTATTTCTATATTAAAGTCCTCAATAGTATTAAAAACCATGTAGATCCATAGAAAGCTTCTAGAACATTCCACCTGTGCCTTGTAGCTAAGAAAACTGAGCCTAAGGAAGTTGCTTTGTTCTTTGAAATTTTTTACTGGTTTTTAAAAATGTTACATAAAAACACATTATCAAAGGAAGAGGAAAAGTAAAAGTCATAGTGGCTTTAAAATATGCTTTGACTTTTTTATGGAATTCAGATTTGTTTATTTATTTTAGGTTTTAATCATTTGAAGGGCAGGGAGCTAAAGAGGCAGTCCGAGACACAGAGATCTACCATCCTCTGGTCTACTTCCCCAAATGGTTCAAACAGCTGGGGCTAGGCCGGACCAAGAGCTGCTCCCAAGAATGTGCCTACAAGTAATTCCCAATTTTACTTTTGCTCTAGCAAAAGAAAGTGAAGACAAGGAAAACCTTCCTAAAAGAACATCTTCTGGTGGCTTCAAATTCACTTTCTCCCACTCTGCCAGTGCTGCCAATGGAGCAAACAGTGCAAACAGTAAGTGTGTCGTGGCTCAGACGGCAGCTGCACATTCCAACGGGTCCTCCTCCAAAACGGCAGGCCTGGCTGCGTCAGTCACAGCCGCCAAGGTACGTGCACTAGCACAGCAAGCTTCGCGTTTTCTGTCTACAAAGTCATTTCATTTGTACTAAAGAATTACACAAACAAAACAAAAAAGGCCAACAATGCTTATGTGTCATCAGAGCATGACTGCTAACATTTTATATTTCTTTACATTCAAGGGGTTTTTTTTAAATGCTTCTATAAACACATTTTTATATTTTGTATTTGTTAAAGTTTTTGTTTTATTTAAACAGTAACCACAGAATTTCATTTTATTTATTTATTTCATATTTAATTATTTAGATTTATTTATCTTTATTGCAAAGTCAGATATATAGAGAGAGGAGGAGAGACAGAGAGGAAACTCTTCCGTGGGATGATTCACTCCCCAAGTGACCGCAACAGCCGGATATATATGTTTTTAAAACAACTCTTAATTCCATGTAATGAATACTTTTCTCATATATGTAATTGTCCTTCTCTTACCTATCCCTCCTAAGGTTGGTGTGTTTATTTTAAAGGCGGCGTAAGAGAAAAAGGGGAAGAGATAGAGACCGTCGTCTGCTAGCTCCCTCCCCACGTGTCCGCCTCAGCCAGGTTCAGGGCCAGGCTGAGGTCAGGAGTCCGTCTTTCCCACACTAGTGGTCCGCACCCAAGTACTTCATCATCCTACCCCTGCCTTCTCGCCTTCCATTCTAGTATGAAACCTGATTAGAAGCAGAAGAGTGGCCTGGACTCAAACAAGCAGCAACCTAACAAGGCCCAGTCCTGCTTAGTAACTCTTTGATTTTGGCATTTCCTTTGTCTGTTACAGTTGTTAACATTTTAGAATATTTTGTTTCCACATATTATCAAATTTTTCTCCAGAAAGAGAAAACCAACTTTTAATCTCACGAGTATATGACTGTGACTGTCTTACTGAAGCTTTGCCAATGTTCTTAAAATTGTGCATCTTTGGGGTCCGGTGTGGTGGCCTAGCGGCTAAAGTCCTCACCTTGCACATACCAGTCCCATATAGGCGCTGGTTCTAATCTCAGCAGCCCCGCTTCCCATCCAGCTCCCTGCTTGTGGCCTGGGAAAGCAGTCGAGGACGGCCCAAAGCCTGTGGGACACCCAGAAGAAGCTCCTGGCTCCTGGCCTCAGATCGGCATAGCACCAGCTGTTGCGGTCAGTTGGGGAGTGAATCATAGGACAGAAGATCTTCCTCTTTGTCTCTCCTCCTCTCAGTATATCTGACTTTGCAATAAAAATAAATAAATCTTTTTTTAAAAAATCCAAGAAGCAAATAGTAAAGTTCAGGGAGATACTACCACCAGTTGGATAGTATATATCCATAATGTCAAGTGATTCCTTTAGCAAATTCACATGTGTTAATGTCAGATAAATGTGATGTGTAAACGTGATTTCTACTATCTTCATGTGACTGTATTTACACTAAAGACTTTTTAAGTTCCATATGATTTCAAAATTTGTTTTGATTCTTCACTAGGGAAGTTTGGTTGGCTTAGTGGATTATCCTGATGATGAAGAGGAAGAAGAAGAGGAAGAAACATCCCCCAGGAAAAGACCTCGTCTTGGCTCATAAAGTGCTTTACAGGGGAACCATTAACATTGCTCTTACCGGAATGCTGCAGCCGTTCAATGAGCTGAACATGTGAATCAGAAAGGTTTCTCACTTGAACTCATAAATGTACAAGGAGTTATCAGCTAGGAGAGTTTAGTGCTGATGAAAACCAGGCTTCCCAGGAATGTGATCGCTTGCTAACAATTACGGGGTTTGCCTTTCAGTCTCTTAAAAAAAAAAGTTAGTAACCAGACCTAGGAAGTAGCTTCTCAGCAAGGAAAACCTCAGGTTTTGGGATGGCTTGTGGGCAAAGAAAAGGTTGATAAAATAACAGTAGTGCAGGGTTGCTCTAGGGTTGCAATCTAGAACCAGTTACAAAACTTGAGTTGCAAACCCAATAACATTACTTGTATAATGGTGCTGGCCATGTTGTTGTTTTAATCATTTGCCTCTTTTTAAAACAGATTTTTATGAGAAAAAAAATTCATCTATCATAAAAAAAAAAGTTAAGCTGTTGGGACCATCTCTTTGAAGATTTCACAGAATTCAACCTTTCAGGAGGTACATCAGTATACAGCACACATTTACCACAAACTTGCAGTAGTTGTTTTGACAAAAACAAGTTGGGTTCAAAATGGACAGTTTTGTTAATAAAACTTTAAAATCAGCACTTTTAGGGATGGCAGAAACCAAGAATCAGTACAGTAGTATCCTGAATGACTTGGGGGTGTTTAGAACAAAACGTTGTCAAACTACCATCGATATACTTGTCTAGGGCAGACATTTGGAGGACACTTTCTGCCTCATTAGTGAAGTTGTCACTGTCCCCAGTGCTGAGGCAAGTTTTAAAGACTAAGAAAGAATAGTGCTACATTACGTAGCATTTGATAGCCCAGAAGCCAGTTTGCTCCAGGAAGCCACCGTAGGTGTCAGCATCAGCATGCAGCATAGGAAGTGTTTCCAGGGAAGAAAAAGGATGGACTTTGAAAGCTGCTTTTTAAAAAGAATAAAAGCACATTCCATGTAGTTGATGAATTTAAAATAATGGAGGCAAATAGTTAAGAGGTTTTATTTTTTAGAACAGCCAAGTTAACTGTAAATATTTTAATGTTCGTTCACTCATCTATGATCTGAGATCATGCTGACTTGAGGAAAATGTCCCCAAACAACAATTTATTTCATTGGGAAAAAAAATTCTAAAATAGGAATACCAACTACAGTCTTTCGGTCACCTTTGTGTTTAGGGTCCATTTTTCCTGGAATAGCTTAAATTGAAGCAGTTCCCCTGTTTTTTGGAGATTTTGTAGTTAATTTTAATTTTGACTATTATTTGGAAAAGATGGACTGTCTGTGTAGATACGAATTATAGTTTTTCCATAAAACAGATGTTTATTTTGTATTAAAGATACCACTGTACTTGTTTTACACCATTTGTATACATGTGGTGATATTAATGCTGAACTGTAAAATTCAGGAATTAAAATGTGACCCTCTAATTTCATGATTGATGCTTGTGTTTGTTTTGTTGTAAATATAAGTTAAATCTTTTTATTTCCATTTTATAGTGTTTTTAAAGCAAATAAGATTATCCATGGATATTTATTATAAACCACTAGTTAATGCTCTGGAAGAATTCTAAGTGAGGGTCAACTGCACTTTATATATCACTGACTACATTGAGCAAGTGACTTTTGGGCAAATCAGATCTCAACACCCAAGCATCACAACATGGAGCTATCCTTTTAAGAAAGGTGTCCTTAATTACAAAGCTTTCCACCTGCTAACACAAGTCAGGGTTTTATCCACAAAAATCAGTAAAATTACCATATGAATACTTTGAAGCAAGTTTTATCAAGCCCCTACTTACCTCTTAGCCCTTGTATGTCTTTTCTTCCATTCTCAAAACTCCAAGCTAAACTGCTTTCTGTTGATTCTTAAGTATCCTGAGTTCCAGAATCTTATACTCTATAATTTTCCTTTCTAAAGAATTGCCATGAGTCAAACTTTTAAATGATCATCACATAAAAATGTGAATGTTTTCTTAAAATTAACTTACATATGCATACCTGTCACCATAAGAGAACAAGACATCTCTAAAGAAAGGAACTCCGAAGATCCTACAATAGCTGCTGCCTTAAAACCTGTGCTCAGGCACACCTGGGTTTTTATACTTCACTCAGTGAAGCAAACCAGAGCCCACACTTGTAATGCCTTAGGACCTCTTAAAATGGTATCTGTAAACATGTATCCAATATAAAGCTATTTTTAATAAAAGTTACCTGAAACAATTCTGTGTTTTAATCACTAGTTTTTCCTTTGTTCATCTAGTGATGCTAATGTAACAAGTGTAGAATAATGCTGATTTTCCTGCTGGCTGAAAGTTGGAACTGTATAAAGTTTTACAATTGTAGACTTAAGGAGAAAAGATGATAAGGTAAGCCCAGGAGTGTCCCCAGCACACCTTTTCAGGTACCCTGAGGATGTCGCAACTCAATGCTTCTTAGAGGGCTCCTAGATGTCTTTTTACAAACACTATGGAAAACCATCCTAGGGCCACTTCTCATGTAGCATTTCCCTTAGCAGGCTCCAACATTTATTGTCTTTATTTCAGTAATAGCTTTTCTACAGAGTATTGCAGTATTTTTTAAATCCCCCATGTATTCTCTAATTCCTCTTTACTTCAAATATAAATGGTAGATGTAAAATCTATCTTGCTACTTTCCATCATACTTGATCATAATACCTCCTCACACCACCAGCTTTTTAAATAAATATATTTTCTGAAAGGCAGAGCAACACAGAGGAGGAGACAGAGCTTCCATTTGTTGGTTCACTCCCCAAATAGCCCCAAAAGCCAGGAACTCCCACCATGGCCTCCTGCATGGCTGACAGTGACCAAAGTCAGAAGCACAGCAGCTGGCATTCTGATACGGGATGCCAGTATCAGAAACAGCACTTGACCTTCTACACCAACACCAGCACAGCTGTCATCTACTAAAGTCCACCTGCCCATCTCCACAGAGCAACCACACATCACTTGAAAATGAAAATTTTCATCATGGGATTTCCCTGCTTTAAAACTTGACTTCCTACTGCCCATATTACAAATGTAAAATTCTCACACATTTTCTACAAGGTCCTGCACAATCTACAATTTCGTGTTAGCCCTCTGGATTCACAGAACGTAGGCCATCAGTCAATATGTGCTTTGCTCTTACTGCAGAATCAGAATTATTCATCCTTCATGCAATTACCCTTCTAATCCCCTTAAATACTACTTTGTAAAGGGCTTAGCAGGCCCTGCACATAGGACCATACTGTTCTCTTTGAGCCTTCACTAGTCCTATGAAGGCAGTCCCTGTCAATTTAACTGACTACTGCATCCTGAGCACATGCAACACTGCCTAGCACAAATACTACATAGAATGTACGCACTGCCAACTTCTATATCTTCTCCAAGACAAAACAATATCCAAAAGTCTGTTAAACAGGCCAGATTAAGTAATTCTCTTTTACCTCATGTGTTTAATTAATGAGCTTACATGAACATTTACAAAAGCAAGCACTTTTTTATAATACACTTGGTATAAGGATTAAATACTTTATTTTTAAAAAAATGAACTGCAACTTGGCTCAATTTTTTAATTACTTATTAATAACTTCTTCTTTAAGTTTCTCTGCAAGTAGTCGCCTCTTTAGTAATGTTTCCTTCTCTTCTGCCGTCATTTCTGGTTTTTCTGTCATTTCCTTAAAAAAAAAAAAACAGAAAAAATAATTAGCCAATAGTATTATATAGGCTCATTTTTGTAAAATTTCCAGCATATTGCCTCAAACAACAATCAGAAGCAATTAAAACTCCAGGTCTACACTAGGTTTCTGAAGTCCGTCCCAAAGCTCTGCTGGCACAAGGCTCCTGCAGACAATGGCTGGTGCACTGGTGCTGCTCTGCACAGAACATCTCGGACATTTCACAAAGCTGGGAGTCGGGGACGGGTAATGCAGCTGCCATTATTTCTCCCTCATATCCTCTCCATCATAACTGACTTCTCAGAACTGCTTTAACAGAATGAGTAATATAGGTGGATCCACCAGCAAAATTCATCAGAGGCTTTCTCTTGGACATAATGAGTTTGTTGGTTCCCTCCTAAGTGATTTTGACATACTGAGGCCAGCCGTACCTCTGCATCCCCTGTAGGTGTTCCTTTCTGCTCTGCATTTTCTATCTGTTTGCTCCTTGTATCTTTTCTCAGGGACATCAATTTATCTCTCTTCTGTTTGAGATAGTGCTCTCGTTGCCGGAGCTCTTCCATTCCAAGTGCTGACAAACTCTGGGTCAAAAACAAAAAGGAACTATCTGAATTGAAGTCCACATACTAAATGGCACAGACACCCACCATGATTCAGTTAGATGTTTGATGTCATGAGCAACAGAGCCAAGTATATGCTGTTCCCAGTACGATGTCATTTTGTTCATGCTTCCTAAGGAGTAATGTTTGACTTACTGCTATTGGTCCTTCAATGCTTCCATGTTCTAAGCCAGGATTCTTCAAGTCCTTTGGTGGAAGTGAGGAAGTCTCAGGCAACATGTCCACCTTTCTTGCCAAGGGTTGAACTGACTGATTAGCAAAATGCACTTTAGCTTCTGGCAATAATTAGATAATGAGACCAGTTAGATCATTTTAAGAAACATTATATATTACAGTCAACGAGCTAATGTTAGTAATAATACTTGTTCTTTCTCACATTCTTTCTTTTTTTTTTTTTTTTTTTTATTGTTGCTTACATTATATTATGTAGTACAGTTTTATAGGCGCTGGGGATCCCCCCCACCCCTCCCATACCCCTCCCCCCATGGTGGATTCCTCCACCTTGTTGCATAACCATAGTTCAAGTTCAGTTCTCACATTCTTTCAATCAACAAAAACACAATGCCCACATTGAGGCAGGCACTGAGTGAGAACAATAAACATAGTTAGATCCTTAAGCAGCTCATCGTATCAATGATAAATTTCAACAAATACCAGGCTCCTGCTATTTGTACAATACTTTAGCTATAAAAAGACAAAATTCCTTAAGGATTAGAACTATATTATAATGCAGGTAGGCGAAGCTTTTCTGCAAAGGGCCATCTATGTATTGATAACATAATTTGTGCACCTTAGAAAATTATGGACTTGAAAATTAGCCTGCTATATATGTTTGTTATATTTTGAGTCCCATCTGTGGTTGGCTTGGCAGGGTCAGACCAAATGATTAGGCTGCCCTCATGTGGTACACATTCCCAAGGCCTGCACAGCTGCCACAAAAGCCAAATAAATAGTATATCCATAATTTGAGAGCAGGTAAAAAAATTTTGAAGTGGCTGCATGTTTTCAGAGCAGTTAATATAAAACTACAACTGCATTTTACCAAACTGCCAGTAATACCAATGATTTGGCTTATAGCTATATTGAAGAGAACTATAAACTGACCAAGACTTCTAAAGTAGGCAGAAATTGGAAACTATATAATAGCATCACTCAACACTTAAGCTATTTGTTGGCTATTAAAGCAGTATTAACATTCCAATTGCTCCTATTAGCTATTTTTGATTATAACTTTAGGTGTTAAGTGCTGGACTAGGAAAGAAAAAAATGAGAGCAGCAAAGACAACATGAAAATGATGCTAAGAACCAAAAACATGATAGAACTTGGTATACATGTCTTTAAGTGACTGAAAAGCTGGCCAACAACCGGAACCAGAAATAGAACTTTGCTGTACTAGAGACTTGACGAAGGAGCACCATGTGGCATACAGCTAACTGCTGCATCACGAAGGGTGGAGGAAGAAGCCTTAAAGAGTCTCGAGTGTCAGGGAAGCCTCTGGAAGCCTCTGGAAGCTCGGGAGCTAGCACTCCAAACCAACCCACACAAGGAATAAAGATATGTCCTCTCTAATATAAGGAAACCATCACACAAATTGGAATGTATAATGATGGAATAATGGAGACTACCGTATCCAGATGTGAAGACACAATGCAATGTGCATCCATCCCTACCTTCCAAACAAAAGATGAACTCCCAGTGAAAGTGTTGCACATATCTAGACAATGGGATGAAGGACTGTCTGACATTGTATCAGCAATGACAGGACACACTTAAATAGCGGACTGATGGAATTGCAACTCCTTATGAAGGAATGTACTGTCGTGGTAATATCGGAAAACCAGTCGGGAGGTGGAAATTGGAGTTGGGGTGGAAATCCCAGACTACACAGAATTGTACAATAAAATCTAAAATTTAAAATAAAAACTAAAAAAAAAAAGGTTGGTCATAAAATGCACACAGCTTAAACACAGCCCCTCCTACTGTTGGCAAATTTTAGCAGAGGTAGGTCTGTCCCACAAATAGGGAACGACAGACCACAAGGAACAGTTCAATTTATTGCTGAGAATGAAAGAACCCATACAAATTGACATTTATATTCAATTCATATACATTTTCTGGACAACTTTTGCCTGAGTTTGTTATAAACACATTGTATATGAAGGTGCTTCAAAAAGTATTGAGAATGTGGAATTAAAAGATAAGTTTACTGGTGCAAGTGCGATGGCATAGCAAGCTAATCCTCCACCTGCCATGCCAGCATCCTCTATGGTCACTGGTTCGTGTGCCAGCTGCTCCCACTTCAGACCCAACGCATTGCTTGTGGCCTGGGAAAGCAGCAGGAGGCTGTCTCAGGTCTTTGGACCCCTTGTTCTCACATGGGAGAACTAGAAGTTTGTGGCTCCTGGTTTCAAACCAGCTAAGCTCAGGCCATTGTGATCATTTAGGAACTGAAATAGTAGACCTCCCTCCCTCCTTTCTCTCTCCATTCTCTCTGTAAATCTGCCTTTCAAATAAAAGTCTTTTTAATTTTTTTGATATGTTTACATAGTGGAGAAGAATGCATGCCCATGTGGACCACTGATTAGAATAGGAACGGTTAAGTAACAGGGGAAAATAGATGAGACACTTGTTTCCAATTTTATTTTTTTTACTTCCTGTATCTGGGGGAAGTTGAGAGAAGGGAAGTGGGTTGCTCCCAGCACCCTAAATGCCTCAGCACCCAAGGATGGGAGACAGACACCCAGTGTGATCCCAGGGTCTCTAATCTGGAGCATGTCCCCAGGGTACTGCTTAAGTAATACTGAAGTTCTGAAATGCTGCTGATTTCATTGCTCCATGCATAGTTTTTTCTTTTCTTTTAAGATTTCTTTTTTTAATATTTACTTATTTTTATCGCAAAGTCTGATACATAGGGAGGAGGAGACACAGAGAGGAAGATATTCTGTCCACTAATAGTACACTCCCCAAGCGGCCACAACAGCTGGTGCTGTGCCAATCCGAAGCCAGGAACCAGGAACGTTCTCCAGGTCTCCCACACAGCTGCAGGGTCCCAAGGCTTTGGGCCGTCTTCTACTGCTTTCCCAGGCCACAAGCAGGGAGCTGGATGGGAAGTGGAGCTGCTAGTATTAGAAACCAGTGCCCATATGGGATCCTGGTCAAGGCGAGGACTTCAGCCACTAGGCCACCATATGTGGCCCAAAAATAAAATAAATAAATCTTAAAGAAAAAAAAAGAATTTACCAAGGGGTCAGAGTTGTAGCATAGCATGTTAAGCCATCCCGTATGCGTATTAATTTAAGTCCCAGCTGCTCCACTCCCGACCCAGCTCCCTGCTGAATACATCCGGGAAATCAGCAGAAGATGGCCCAAGTGCTTGGGCCTGCACTCCTGTAGGCGACCCAGATGAAGCTCCTGTCTCCTGACTCTGGACTGGCACACCCCTGCCTGCTATAGTTATTTGGGGAGTGAACCAGCATATGAAATATCTCTGTCTCTCTCTCTCTCCCCATTTCTCTTTTATCTTTCAAATAAATAAATCTTTTAAACAATTAAATAGGAAAACAACTTTCCTCAGCCTAATAGAGGTATTAAGAACTAACACCATATTTACTAAGGGAAACAAGGTTTTTCCACTGGTATCAGGAACATGGCAAAGACATCCTTTCACTGCTCTAATTCAACACCAGCTGAAATGCTACATCACGCAAAAAGATAAGGCAAAGAAGCAAACTGATTGGGAGGAAAGACATAAAGCAATCTTCAGTCACAGATGACATTCACTGACAACACTGACAAAAGCAACATGGGAACTAATGGAATCAGCAATTACAGCAGTATTACAGGATAACAGTAATCACCTTCCTTCTTATCAGTAATGTTACATTTGAAATTAAAACAAAATATCTGGCCCGTCACGATAGTGTGGTGGTTGAAGTCCTCGCCTTGCACACTCCGGAATCCCATGGTGCCAGTTCAAATCCCAGCAGGCCCACTTTCCTTCCAGCTCCCTGCTTGCGGCCTGGGAAAGCAGTCGAGGACGGCCCAAAGCCTTGGGACCCTGCACCCGTACAGAAGACCTGGAGGAGGTTCCTGGCTCCTGGCCACAGACTGGCATAACACCAGCTGTTGCAGCCACTTGGGGAGTGAACCATCAGACAGAAGATCTTCCTCTCTATCTCTCTATATATCCGCCTTTCCAATTAAAATAAATAAATCTTATTTTAAAAAATAGTATCATTTACACTGGTATCCAAAAAAATTACTTATGCATAAAATCTAGCAAAATATGCACAAAACCCATATAAGGAAAATTTTTAAATTCTGATTAAAGCACTCGAAGAGCTACATAATGAAAATATCCCATGTTTATGGATAGGAAGTTCTAACACCGTGTAGCTATCAAACAAACTTAATATGACCCATTCAAAACCATAGGAAGTTATTTTGTGGACATTGAAAAACTTACCCTAAAATTTACAGTGAAAAGAAAAAGAGGGACAGCATAGCAGTGTAGCATGTTAATCCACCCCACATAAGTGCCAGTTCAACTCCTCGCTGCTCCACTCTCCAAGTCAGCTCCCTTCTTACAGCTTGGGAAAGCACCACATGGCTCAAGTCCTCGGGTACCACACCCACTCGGGAGTGCTCCTGGCTACGGAATTTGGATCAGCTCAGCTCTGGCTGTTTCAGCTCTATGGGGAGTAAGCCAGCACACAGACCTCTATGTCTCTCTCAGTAACACTGACTTTCAAATTAAGAAGGAACAAAGTTGGAAAACTAATCAATACATTGTATTACTGGGAAAGAGAGAGAGAAAGCAAGCAAGCAAATGACAAATAGATTAATAGGAGAATAGGAGAGAAAAGAATCTGAAATCTAGACACAAATTGAATCTTTAAGAAAAACTAAATCAAAATGAATTCTAGCACTAAACAGAAAAGGCAAAACTATAAAGTTCCTAGAAAGTAACAGAATGAACCCCAGATGACCCTGGACATGGTGATAGCTTTGTAGTATAGCACCCAAGGAACGATGAAGGAAAGAAAAGTTTGGGAAAAAAAGAAAAAAAATGGGAAGCTGTACCTCATTAAAATATAAAGCTTCTCAATAAGACTATAGCAAGAAATCGAAAAGACACAGTTTAGGAGGAAAAAAACACATCAGAAAAAGCATACTGTTACATACAAAGAACTCCAAAAACTCAGCAATAAGATGAACCTCATTAAACTAATAGTATAACATCCTTAACAGTCAAATCACCAAAGATACACAGTTGGGAAATAAGCATATCATGTCATGAGAGCAATGCAAGTAAAACAATGAGATATTACTACCCACCTATTAGAATGTTCCAAGCCTGGAACACCGACACCACCAAATGCTTTCAGTCATTGCTGGTTGGAATGTAAAATGGAATAGCCACCTTGGAAGGTAGGTGGCAATTTTCTTACAAAATTTAACATGTCGTTGGAAACTAAAATTACACGTAGAGGGTTACAGGACTTGAATGTCCCTACATATGACCTGAGACTCCCTAGTGAGCATTGATGATTTTGCTCGCGTTTCCTTGAGGCCTGAGGCCTGCAGCATTTAGAACATCCCCTCCACTCCTCCGGCATGATTGCAGTCAGGTGCATCTGTCTGCATTTCCCTGTATAAATCCTGATTGCTTCCCTTCTGTGGAGGAGGAATGTGGGATGTTATAGGCACTAGCCTGTCACCATTTTAACTCACAGCATTAAAAAAAAAAAAAAGTACCACTTTCTTTTCTCCAAATCCTTAACTGTTAAGGATTGTGACAAAACACTCTTGACAAAACAGTGATAAGGATTGTGACTAAAGGATTGTGGGGACGTGCCATTATACGTTTTTCCAAACTCAGAGAATGTGCAACATCAGGAGGAACCCTAAAATAAGCTACAGATTTTGTGTGATAATGACACATCAAAGCAAATTGATTAATTCTAACAAGTGTACCCCTGTAATGGGAGAGGCTGCAAATATGTGGGAACAACAGATACTGAAAAATCTGCCCTTTCTGCTCAGTTTTGCTGCGAACCTAAACTGCGGAGACAGTAATTGTAAACACCAAGTTGCACTCCAACTTAAACAGATTCCAGTTTCAGGAGCCCTTCGGAAGTGTAAGGGTCACGGAAGAGTCGAGGAAGACAAGGTAAGTCACTTTCACCACTGAAGAGCTCAACGATCTAGACAAGTCACTCAACTTTCTTAAATTTCTTATTTAAAAAGAGATAAAGAACAGAATAAGGATCATAGTATTTTTAATTCACATAAGGACATTTCTTTAAAAACCACAGGAATACATGATAAAAGCAAACAGGAAACAGGATAACTCAATTTCTATTTCAGAATTACTTGTTCTCTTACACTGTAGAAAATAAGGAGCTGAGAGTGTATTTGCAGCATTTTGTAGCTCACTACTGATGGCTTCCTCTGAGCAGTTCCATCAAGTTTAGTTTCAAAGACACACTTTCTGACTGACCAGATAGAAAACTGGATACTCCTTATTTTTTTTTATGGTGTTCTAATTCATTAAGAAAAGAATCCAACACTGTCTTTGCAAGTTCAGTCTCTGGGGATGAGAGCAGCCGAGGTCCCAGGGACTCAGGTTGCAGGCTGCAGGTCAGCGCAGAGGCCACTGCACTGCAGAGGGCTGCTCACTGCCCTGGCTCTGGGCACCCCTGGGCAATCCAGGCACTGTACTCTCTTTCAATTAAGTGTTTCCTACTCAGAACCTCTTTAGCTAAATTCACAGACCTTTTTAGAGCCATGCAATGCTCGCTCCCAGGATTAAAGAAAGTGTAGCATCCATCACCCTTACCTGCAGCAGAGTGTCCAAAATGCTCGCCACCTCCTATGGAATTACTCATTTTGACAGCTTCACCAGGATATTCTGGGGGCTCCTCTGTTTTACTCTCTGATAACTTGAGGGTTCCATAACATAATTTTAAAAAACATACACACACAATTTAGAATTGTTTAGACTAATTCACTTCCTAAGGGATACAAAGACATTATTAAAAAAATATATCTACTGACTGGGATCATAAATAACAGGTTCTATTTTCCCAATGTTTGTAAAGATTCTGTTAACATCTCAAAGCTCCCACCTTATGAAGGAGGTCAACTTTCATTTCGAATCAGCATGCTAGCATTCACGTTACTGTGAGCAAGACCCCCAGAAATACTCTGACAGAAATAAAGATACTGAGTAATAACTTTTCTGCTTAATGTACACATTTCTATGTTCAGAAAACATTACTTTAAATACCTGAAATAGCCACATATCTTAGAAAATAAGCTAACTAATGTTAGTTTAGTTTTCCTTATGGGAAATATGTAACCATGTGCAGATTATTAGGCAAATTCATGCATACCTAAATCCTAAGGTCCTACAAGGGGACTGTTTACACCATCTCTTTCCATAACAAAATCTCAAAAGAAAAACCAAAAACATAGCCCTAAAACATTCAAGAAATCTAATATAGTTTGCATACAAACAGAAATCTTCCAATAATAGATCAGATTCGGGGTCCAACACTGTGGCACAACAGATTAGGCTGCCACCTGCAACATGGGGCATTCATATGTGGGTCAGTTGAAATCCTGCCTGCTCCGTGTCCTATCCAGCTCCCTGCTTATAACCTGGGAAAGGAGAGGAGGATGGCCCAAAGCCTTGGGACCCTGTACCTAATGGGAGGCTCAGAGGGAGCTCCTGGCTCCTGCTTCAGATCGGCTAAGCTCAGGCCATCGTGGTCATCTGGGAAGTAAACCAGCAGATAGAACATGTTTCTCTTCATCCTTTCTTAAATCTGGGGACCTGGTATGATGGCTCCGTGGCTAAATCCTTGTCTTACAAGAGCCAGGATCCAATATGTTCAAGTCCCAACTGCTCCACTTCCCTTCCAGCTCCCCGCTTATGGCCTGAGAAAGCAGTAGAAGATGGCTAAAAGCCTTGGGACCCTGCACCTGCAAGGGCGACCCAGAAGAAGCTCCTGGCTTCAGATTGGCTCAGCTCCAGCTGTTGAGGCCATTTGGGGAGTGAACCAGTGCATGGAAGATCTTTCTCTCTGTCTCTCCTCCTCTCCATAGATTTGATCTGCCTTCTAATAAAAAACAATTTAAAGAATCTGTAAATATAAAAATAAATATCTTTTTAAAAACAATCCTTATTAATAACTAAGAACTGTACTTCATTTACTAAAAATGATCTACTCAAAGATCAGTAATTCATCTTTTAATTCTAAACATCCTTCCTTTTATTCCTCATTAGGTATTTTGGAATAAAGCAGGTCTTTCAGACAGTGAAATGATACAAGCACTTATCAAAGTGACAGGAAAAAAAAAGGGAAAATGACTTTCATATGATTGAGACAACGTTTATATTAGGTTTCCCCTCCTCTTTGAAGAAACTGAGGAAATGTGGAAAAGGGGATGGCCAGAAAAGGAGAGAGGTTACATGTTTATCCACAGGAAAGACTAGGCGTTCTATGGAAATGGCTCACGACAGATGGTAGGTAACTATGGAATTGTGATAATAAATCATTCAAGCTGATAATATCATAAAGCCTGCAGGGGAACATTATTCACTGTTTCAAGGAATCAAGGAGAAGTGAGACAGTAAAATATTTTCCTTAATCTTCTTTAATCTTTCCTCTACTCAAACTGTCTAAATTATGCTTTGTTTTTATAATTTTAGAGTAATAAACTCAATCTTTCTTGGGAAATTTAAAAGATGGGTTACTTGATGAATTATAAAGACAGTAAACTTACAAAGAAAGCATGTACTTCCTGTATTAAAAAGAGTAAAAAGTTAAATAGGGTTCTAGGCCCAACTCCACTCCCAGCTTCAGCTTCCGGCTAATGCAAGCCCAGGAAGTCAGTGGGGACGGCTCAAGTGGCTGGAACATGCCCAAAGGAACTGGGATCAGGGTCACGGCTGTGGACCCTGACATGGTCCAGCCCAACCGGTGTAGACACTTAGTAAGTGAACCAATATATGGAGGCTTATTTTGTCTGTGTTTCTGTTGCCCTGCCTCTCAAATGATAAAATAATGAACAAAAAGTTAATATCAATCCTCATCTCCAAGAAAACATGAATATTCTTAGAAACTAAGTAGTTCCACATAAGCTTAACAACAAAAGTCACATATAAATTAAGAGAAAAAAGTAACAAACATATTCTTGTCATATGTTCTGAAGGCACCTGTTTTATTCTCTTCCTTTCTTCTTCCTGGTCATATTCCTCTTTTGATTTTCTGAAATATTCAAAAATAAAATATTTTTTTAAATTCTCAGTTTCGATCAAAGAGCAAATATTCAGCCAATCAATGTGCTAAACTAAAATCATAACATAAGCATGGCATTTGGGATACAAAGATGGAAAATAATTAAGTCTTGCTCTAATGTGGTTCATAAGCATCTGAGAAAGATGTATATAGGTATAAAACATAAAATACAGCTTTTCATTTTAATTTAGAGATGTAAAAATCCTCACTGAGCAAATAACAGGTGTAAACTCTTCAACCCAAATGCAAATAGCAAATTCTGTCAACACAAACTTTACTCTCCCTCTTTAGAGAGATAACTAATAATAATGTGTTCACTTTTCAGATCACCAATCAGCCAATAATGCCGAAACTACAAAAGAGATGAGGGGATACCAGACCCTACGCAGAAGGAAACACCCGCTGACCTGTCTTAGTTCTCTGCTGGCCCTTTGAGTGGGTTTCCCATTCCATGCCAGACATGTGCCTCAGAATCAGGAAATAGCAAGAAGAGAAGACTAAGAAGATACTCCTCTGGAATAGAAGCTTCCCAGTGGCCTCCCTGCCTTGCAGGTTCTCCAGTCCCTCTGTCAAGTCTAGCTGCCCAGCCTCTTACTGTGACCCCACTAGGAGATCCAGAATCCACAGTGTGTCCTGCCTAGATCAGGCTTCTAACCCCTCTGCAGGACTCAGGCCGGGAGTGCTGCAACTTCTCTCCATCAGTGCCCAGTTTCCCACAGACATGCTGGAGGTAAGAGAAAATCCTTTCATTGGGGCTGATCTGGTATGAGTCATCTGAAAGTAATTTTATGTCCATTAATAAATAATATAGAGAGAGAGTTACAAGATGACACCTTATGGTCTTCAATGGACAACTTAGACATTTTGGTAGTTCATCATATTTTCTGGTTCAAATACATGCAGATTATATAATATTACCAATACATATATAACAAGCAAATCCTTTGAAACATAAAGCACAGTACCTAAGAACCTCTCTCAGGATTTTCATCTCTTGCTGTTCAAGCTCATTTGTCATGTCAGAACCATCTGTTAGGCAATCAGGTAACACACCTGTTCAAAATCAAAGACCACAGGAAGAACGTCAACTCAACTGAAAACACTCCCTCCTCACTCTTCTAGTTCATGCACTGCAACTCAGTTTAGAAGTGACACAGAAGAAGCACTCAAAGCTATTATCAAATTACTGCCTTGTAAAATTTTCTCACTTTAGAGACTACGCACCATCCAAAATAATACTAACAATAATTTACGTAGAAATTTAGATTAGCAATTATTTGTGTTGGCTAGTAAAAATAGCAAAGATGCATAACAATAGAATTAATTAATAAAAGTTGCTATCTTCCTTAATCACATAATGTGTGAGGTTGTAATGCTGAAATCATTGAGCAAGGGTTACGAAGGAAACTGTGCATTGAAAGATGTCCCTTAAAAACAAAACACAATTTTGTTAACTGAAGCAATTAATACTCTCCGCCCACACTACAATAAATGAAGTAAACAAGGGCCTGCTCACTCGTGCACCGAAAGCATCATGCGAAGCACCTGCGGTATGAAGAGCAACAATCAGGACTCTCACAGCTTCTGCTCTGATACTGCTTTTTTCCTTTCTTTTTTTTTTTAATATTTATTTATTTTCATTCGAACATCAAATTTACAGAGGAGGAGAGACAGAGGGGAAGATCTTCCATCTGATGTTTCACTCCCCAAGTGACCGCAATGGCTGGAGCTGAGTCAATCCAAAGCCAGGAGCCAAAACCTTCTTCCGGGTCACCCACATAAGTGCAGGGTCTCAAGGCTTTGGGTCATCCTCTACTGTTTTCCCAGGTTACAAGCAGGGAGCGGATGGGAAGTGGAGCAGCTGGAATACGAACTGGTACCCATATGGGATCCCGTCACATACAAGAAAAGGACTTTAGTCACTAGACTACTGCACTGGGCCAGCAGAATCTCTCTTAATTTTTACCTTCTGCCTCTTTATCCACACGTGACTGGGATCTTGAATGTGCTCTAAAGTAAAGTAGTTTTATTATTTTAATACCTTTAATGCTTACAGGCATTTTTAAAATTGTTTTATTTTGAGAGCATTTGCAAATTTACATGCAGTTGTAAGAAATAATAAAGATGCAGGCCCAGCACAGTAGCCTAGTGGCTAAAGTCCTCGCCTTGAACGCACTGGGATCCCATATGGGCGCCAGTTCTAATTCCAACAGCCCCGCTTCCCATCCAGCTCTCTGCTTGTGGCCTGGAAAAGCAGTCGAGGACGGCTAAAAGCCTTGAGACCCTGCACCTGCGTGTGAGAGACCCAGAAGAAGCTCCTGGCTCCTGGCTTCGGACTGGCTCAGCTCCAGCTATTGCGGCCACTTGGGGAGTGAACCACTGGATGGAAGATCTTCCCCTCTGTCTCTCCTCCTCTCTGTATATCTGCCTTTCAAATAAAAATAAATAAATCTTTAAAAAATAATAAAGATGCTATTGTTCTTTGTTAGGTTACGAGGTGACTGAGAGTCTCTTAGTTCAGGTAAAGGGTTTTATTAGGGAAAAGAGCTGACGGTGCTCCCTGCTGGGAGAGAACCTGGGACCATTTCCACATGGCAGGTTGACTACATGAAGAAAACAGCCGCCCAAGGTAGGCAGCCCTGGGCCTTTATACGCCTTAGGTGCGGGGCATGGGAGCAGAGCAGCTCCTGGGCTTGCACGTGCGTGAGGCGTGGAGCACGGGCACGCATCACAGCTAGTGCAGTCCTGCACGGAGACAAGGTTAGGGTGATCCAGCGTCCCACAGTCCTGGCTGGGAGTGGCAGCTTCACTTCAGCAGGGTGCTAGAGTTGCTTTTGCTCTGCCCAAGCTAACATTCCAGCCTTGTTTGGAGCTAAAAGGGGGTGTGGTGTGGAGGGATAAGTCAGATAATCATTGAGCAGCGGTTTATACTGGCCTAGGAAGAGTTGGTTAAGATTGTCTAGTGAGGCCTTGAGAGACAGACAGGGTACGAAAAGGAAAAGCAAAATAACATGCACATGCACGGCTGTGGCAAAGCAAAGCCACTCCTACTCATTCAGTGCGCATGTGCCAGCAAGCAGCTGTGGAATGGAGACAGGATGACCTGCTGCTGGTCCCGGGCCCTCAGGTTTTTACCCACTATCCCCTCGTTTCACAAAGCTATAGTACATCATCACAAGCAGAAAACACATCTACATAACTTACCAGCCCTAAGTGCATTTTTTTTCAATTAACGATAAAAATTATTATTCTAATATCATGGTTAAAGAACATTAAAAATGCTAAAGGAAAAATAATGCAACAGTATGAAATATTTCAAAACCAACAAAATAATTCTGATTTGCATTTCATCAAAATCTTCTATAAAATACAACCAGGAACCCAGTGAGTCTTTGAATTTTTTTCATCACAGTGACAATTTTCAGTAACTTCAAGTACAATCAAGCTGGATCTCAGGTGCCCTCACTGCTAGATCTAAAGTTAAAGAACAATTCAAAAGACAACTATTAAAAAATCTGTGGCAGAAGCCAAGTAGCAGTTTAAGTGTAGGTAAACTGTGCCACCGTGTGCTCTGACAGCAGCACTCCCCTCCTTCCTTCCTCCTATGAACCAGGTCTTGTGCAGGTATCAAGCAGCCAGCTTCTCGGAGGTGGGGACCCCCATGACTCCAGGAGAGACTCATGATTAAACAATCATAATTATCGGTTTCCCCACGGCTGACAGTCCTAAAACTTCGGCAAGTGACCCCATCCCAAGTAATAGGAGCTGAGGGGAGATCCCGTCAAGGGCTGCCGTCAAAGTGCTGTCTTGTTATCCAAGAGACGTGCATGAGGATGCTCATATGAGACCAATCTCATATGCTCATGCTGAGATTGCATCTGATACAGCCAGCGTAGAATCGCGAGAGAAGAGCCTGACAATGGCAGGGTTTAAAGACAGAAATGACTGGATCCTTGATGAAAAACGGCATGGAGTCACTGAATTCACCAACTCCGCAGCTGTCTTCCTTTCCTCCCCGTTCCTCCGACCTCCTTGCTTTGTGAGATGATTTCTAATGGCTTAGGCCACTTTCAATAGGGTATTCCACTCTGAGACGCCTGAAGCAGCTAGCTGATACAAGCTCTATGTACCAATTCCCTTCTGATTAAAATCTAAATGAGCTTCCAGTTAAATTACACACTGGAAATTACAGAGGAACGATGGCAAGGTCACTAAGCCTTTTTGGTGAGACTGATCATCTCAGAGCAAATTTTACTAATATAAAATAATTATTAAAACTCTTTATTCCATACATCAGAATAAAGCCTGGTTTCAGGACAACTCTGAGGAAGGGATTTCGTAAAGTAAATCATAGTAGAAAGACAGATGCAAGACTATTTTCCAAACTAACACAGAGTAACAGCAATGTGTGGTGCTTTCTTCAGGATTAGGGCGCTGTCATCACCTCCCCACAGGTCAACAGCTCTACTGCCTGCTGTGAAAAGCATGGATGGTTATGTGTCGGACAAATGAGAGGGAGACTCCCCAAAAGGAAGTCAGCAGCACTGTGGCCTGCAGGAGGAGGAGATCTGCTGGTTCTCCTACCTCCCAGGAACACAGCACAGGTCTTGCTTCCAGACCTCAAGCAGTTGCAGGCCACCAAGGACCAATGCCCACACACTGAGCAAACACAATCAGAAACAAAGGTGAAATAACCAGAGACCCAAACTCAGATGATGATAACTTGGCTAGAACAACATAAAGGTTGTAACATGGTAAATGACAAGTTTAGTTACACCGCACGAGCAGCAAGAGCTAGAGAGGAAAGTGATTAGAGAGCTGTCAGGAAGAGGACACAGTCCGGAAGCACGAGGGCCGTGGCTGCAGCAGTCATTGTCTCTGAGCAAGGTGGCTCTCCGTGGAGTCCCAGGACCAGCAGCTCTGGCACTGCCCAAGAACATGAGACATGCTGATTGATTAAGATATACTTAATGAGAAAGGGAGTTTCAACAAGCCTCGCGGCTATTCCACTCTGCTGACAAAAGCTTGAGACCCAGCATCTCCTCCAAAGTCCTAATAGTGACAAAAATAAGCCAACAAGAAAGAAGTCACCTCCTGTCAACAGGAACCAAAATTTCATAAACACAATGGCTGGGCAGAAAATTGAGCTCTTTGAAATATAAAACGGTATTAAATCTAATTCTGGTTGGCTCTCTTCAAGATGCCAAAGGCAGAGCGATCAGAAAGCTTATACTCAAATCTCCTGTGTTAGAGATTTTTTAAATGTAAAATAAATGTAGGAAAGCAACTACATCTAAAATTGTATCAAAACAGCCAGTAACAATAGAATGTGTGCATCACTTAAGTTTCTGACTTGAACAGTTTACCATTTCGCTCTTGAATTATCCGAATAGCTTGCAGCTGCATCTCCATGTTCTTCTGGACCATCATTGCTTTGAAGATCGTAAAATCTGCTGCTGCCAACACAGGCTGCAAAATGGCCTGTGGAAAGAAATGTTGAGATTAAGGGAAGATTTAAGTTTATAAAGCATCTCCCATACTTTCAAGTAATTTCCACTAGAAAACTGCACATTAATTCAAGAATACTACATTTTTTTTCTTACTGAATGACTAAAAGGATACTTTTAATATTTTATTTTACAATAGGACCCTCTCCAAAACCCCAGGCCCCCAGCAGGCTAAGGATGACAGTGACACAGGTTCCAAATGAGCCAGGGTTGAAAGACTGAAAAACAGCATGGGCATCTGCCTTACTTTTTTGAAAGTGACCACTTCAACATCTGGGTTTGTTTTTTTAGCCAAAATAGTAAAAACTATTCCATTTATATTCTGTCATTTGCAATTAGTTTCATGAAAAAGTCTATTCAGTAATGACAAGATTAATTAATAAAAGTACCAAATTTACTAGGGGCTTGGGGATTGGTACGGAAGTTAAGACACAACTGGAAAGGCTCACATCTCACATCACAATGTCTAGACTCTGAGTGCTGGGTGCACTCTGGAGCCAGCTTCCTGATAATGCCTACCCTGGGGTACAGTCCAGGTGCCCCGGCTCCTGACATCCACAATGGAGAGCTGCATTTAGTAATGGGCTCCTGGCTAAGCCTAGGACAATACCAGGTTTTGCAGGCATCTGAAGAGTGAACAAGTGGATGAAAGATTGCTTTCTCTCTCTTCTATCAAAGTGGAAAAGAAGAAACTGGAAACGAAGTGTAACAAACTACAAAATATTATGAGATTGCAGTCCAGCTGTCTTCTATGGGAAATTTCTTGAAGGTTGTAGAGTTAAAAGTAATGGGCTGAGCATCATAGCAAAAAAGTTTAGCCTCTGCCAGTAGCACCAACAACCCATTTGCACACCAGCTGAAGTTCCAGCTGCTCTACTTCTGACCCAACTCCCTGCGAAACGCCTGGGAAAGCAGTGGAGGACAGTGCAAGTGCTTGGGCCCCTGCACCCACACAAGAGACCTGAAAGAAGCCCCTGGTTCCTGACTTTGCTTCATCCCAGCTCCAGCCATCAAAGCCTTTGGGGAGTGCAACTGCAGATGGAGGCTCACTCTCTCTTGATCTTTTTCTTGTCTTCTCTCTGTTGTAACTCAAGCCTTTCAATTTAAATCTTGAAAAAGAAATCAACGTAAATATAAAATCATAACTATGATGTCTAAGAAATTAAGAAAACATAAAAAGACCACCATGGAGGGCCCAAATGAGTACTTTTCGAACTCCTGAGACCAACACATACTGAAGAGCAAGCCAAATCTCAAACTAATCAATAATATAGAAGACACACAAACTCCTTAAACACTTAAAACTTATTTATCCCATCTCCAGCTTCACATGTCAATAACCCAGGTGGTCAGATAAAATCCCACCGAGGCCTCCAGGGGCATGCCCTTGGCTGGAGGGCAGCAGTAACAATGTCACAGGAAACACCTGGGCTCTCTGTTCCCAAGAGGAGGAAGCCCTGCCCTCAGCCAACAGCTCCCGTCCTCGGCAACTGCAGCCCAGCCAAGCAAAATCAAAGTGCAGAAGAATCAACTCTAGGAGAAAATGAAGAAACTTGTCTCAAATTCACAAACACGGTCCACCAGAGGGCACAGCATTTACTCTTCGAAGTTTCAGGCTCTTCAATAATATTTACACTGTGTTTTACTGGATAGCTACGACTTTTATATTAGTAAAACAAACTAGGGCAGTTATAAGAATTGGACACAAGAGCTAAATCAAAACACACAGTACCAAGTTTCAAAGCACAATACTCTTTGAATATCCTTTAAAAATTGATTGAAATGTCGAACTACATTGAGAAGACTCTATTTGGGAAGTGATATCAAAATGGCACTGTCATCTCACCCATTAGCATGAAAAAAAAAGTGCCCTTGGTAGGAATGTAATGACGTCACTACAGAACATAGTATCATTCATCAGAAAGTTCCAAGTAGAACTACCATATGATCCAGCAATTCCTCCTGTGAGTATATGCACAAATAAATGAAAAGAGATATCAAAAGTGAGATAGATATGTATATATGTGATATATGTATGCATATACATATTTTTAAGATTTATTTATTTTTATTGGAAAGGCAAATTTACAGAGGTATGGAGAGAGACAAATCTTCCATTCACTAGTTCACTCCCCAAGTGGTAGCAATAGCCAGAGCTGCACTGATCCGAAGCCAGGAGCTAGGAGCCTCTTCCGGGTCTCCAAAGCAAGTACAGTGTTCCCAGGCTTTGTGCTGTCCTCTACTGCCCTCCCAGGCCACAAGCAAGGAGCTAGAAGGGAAGTAGAGCAGCCAGGACACAAACCAGCACCCAGATGAGATCCCAGTGAGGACTTTAGCAACTAGGCTACCATGCGGACCCAAAAATGATATGTTTAACTTTCATGTTCATAGACACCTAACTCACAAGCCATGACAAATTGTAGAAAAATCTTACATGCATATTGGTTACTGAAAGAAACCAGTCTGAAGGCCATATAGTGCATGTTTCTAATTATAGGATCTTACGGATAAAGCAAAACTGTGGTGATAGTAAAAATGTCGGGTGAAGGACTTTGGGTCTAGGCCCAAAAAGAGGTATTGCACAGTACTAGGGATTTGTAGGACAACAAAACTGCCTTTTATAAAACTGTAATAGTAGGTATATGATATTATACAGTTAGCACAATCCATTAAAACTGCATGACATAAAGAGTTAACCCTAATGTGAATGATGAACTTGACTAATAATAATGCATCGATTCTAGTTTGCCAGTGGTGACACACAGTGCGTAAAAGCAGCATTTGGACAAGGGAGACTATGTTATCTGCTTCACTTTCTACAAATCTGAAACTGCTCAAAAGTAAAACCTATTCAATGCTTAGAGCCTTATGAGAACTCACACAAAATAGTTAATTATCCAGTGCTTTTTTTTTTAAGAAAACGAATGGTAACACAACATATGCAATCTCTCAAACGGTGCAAGTCACTGAAAAAAGAATTTTCTCAAGTCATTATTATTGTAACAACCTTTGAAAATATTTATGTCCATCTTATTAAAGTCAAAACAAATTAAATAAAAAACAAATTAAATAAAAAACAAATAATAAAAAAACTCTTGTCTCTTGCCATTGAAAAATCTCTGGCTTTTTAATACCTACCCTGAACCTAGTGGTCACTTTTATCCTCACCAAACCACATACAATGAAGGAAGTCACATTCCGGCTTGAAAACAAAATTTTAAATTTCAGCTCAAAATAGCTGGCATAGTAAACATTGAGGAAATTATTGTATCTTCATATTTTATATTCTTCTGAATAAAACCTTTGAGCTTTACAAAATCAAACAAACAAACAAAAAAGACCTATGGATATATAACAGAAAAAGTTGATATCTTACAAGAAATTTTCAACTTAAACATACCATGCCAGCAGCCCATGTCTGACAACCAACAAACCAGGTGAAAAGAATTTTCCAAGTCTGCTCTGGCAGCACCAATCAACAGGAGCTGGCAGGGGGTTCCGTCAGTCAAAACCAAACCAAGCCAACCAAGCCAAAACCAAACTTACATCCTAAATAACACAAGGCAAGCCATCGATTCTTGAGTTCATGCTCAGGCATCCATATTGGCATACAGAAATTTATATTCTGTATTTAGATATGAAGATTAGATTGCTACAAAATAGTAAATAACATATTTTGAACTATTTTTTCAGTAATGCTGACGGCTTTGTTCTGCTCAATGTTGCTAATTGATATCTGTCAACCACAAGTTGGCTCTGGTAAAATATAAAGCTAACTAGTCCATATAGGGATTGAACCCATCTAGTCTATTAGCACATAGCTAATCAACCATCAAAATACCTACTATTATTAAGAGGTGCTTTCACTTAATTATAGACTATCTGGTGTAAGCCAGGCATTGCGCTAAATGCTTTAGGTAGATTAATTCTCAAACTTCAAAGTAACGTTTCCCTTTTTCTTTTTAAAGATTTATTTTATTTTTTATTGGAAAGTCAGATATACAGAGAAGATGAGAGACAGAGGGGAAGATCTTCCATCTGATGATTCACTCCCCAAGTGAGCGCAACGGCAGGTGCTGTGCCGATCCGAAGCCAAGAGCCAGGAGCTTCTTCCAGGTCTCCCATGAGGGTGCAGGGTCCCAAGGCTTTGGGCCGTCCTTAACTGCTTTCCCAGGCCAGAAGCAGGGAGCTGGATGGGAAGCACGGCGGCTGGGTTTAGAATCGGCGCCCATATGGGATCCCAGCACGTTGAAGGCGAGGACTTTTAGCTACTAGGTTACCGCGCTGGGCCCCCACAATAACTTTTCAATGTAGATTCTATTCCTATTTTACAGATGTGGAAACTAAGAACCAGAGTGAATAAGAAAACAAAACTGTAAAACAGCTTTTGCCTACAGTCCTCTAACCAGTAAATGAGGAAAATGCTGATGTCTGAAAAAGTTACTTTTCTTGCATATAACAAAACTGAACTAATAATCATCTCTAAATAAAATTTTAAAAGGAAGTATGAAGAAGGAAAAATAAAGATGTAATGATAATGATTTTAAAACACTATTTTCAACATAAATATTAACAAATAATCCAAAGCTATCCAGATAACACAAACAAAAGATGTGTGTCTACTATTTCCATGAATATATTTATCTATAAAATAACTCAGACTACCTTAGTGGCTCAATTAAGAGATTGACCAAATCAGCCTATAGCTACACCTGCAAAATTTATTAGACAACTACATAAATAAAACAGTAGTTTGGATAAACTCATCTTATTATAGCTCTCATTTCACAAACCTGATTTTTTTCATTTTATCACTTCATTAACACCTTAAGTAATCATTTCTCACCCTTACGAAAGTCTAAAATATCAGACTTTGTCAATCAATATGCCGGTTTGAAGTGAAACCTTGGGGGTTTGTGGAAAACAACAACACTAGCAGAAAAACAAAACAGCAAGAACCTGTGAGGTTCGGGTTTTTGCAAGAGGAGAAGTACATGCTTCTTGAAATTGATCTTCATTAATTCCAATATCTTTGAGGTAACTTTCCAACAGCTTTTCAACCTAAAAAAAGAAACACTAACATTTACAATCTATAAAGCAAACGGGCAAATGACAGTTAGAAAACTATAATCAATGCAAATATTAATTGCATCAAGTAGTAGTAACAGTGCCTTACACCAAAGAACAAACCAAAAAAAATAATAACCTGAGGGGAAGAATCGGATAAAATTTTCTTTCTTCTATCAGAAATAAATGAAGCCCAAATTTTGAAGTTGCAGGTGGCTCTTTCTTCTATCCCCAGTTTTAGAAGTTTTTAGAAGTGAACCAGGTCTGACTGAACCCCTAACACGTCCCTGGAAGCAATCAGATTATCCAGGAAAACATGTGTGAAGTCCCACAGCAGAAGTGATAAGAAATTGGTAAGAATGAGATGCTTGGAGACCCTGAAGCCTGGTAGAACTGGTAGTGTTGTTAGGGTAAACTGGAGTTTTACAAAGTCAAGCAATGTCAGCGGAAAAAAAAAAAAAATCCACTTTCCAATTAAGAAAAGCTACAACTATTACTGTAAATGCCCTTTAGAAATCAGTGGGGAAAAAGTACTCACTAGTTCTTTGTATTCCTGATGAATCTCTGTATAGGTCAACTTGCTTTCTTCTTCATCATCAAAAACTAAATTTAAAAGAGAAAAATGTTACATACCATAAAGAAACAAATCATTTCACTAATACAAACATAACAAAATCTACTCCTGGGCAGGTGGTTCGCCTAGCAACGAATACACTCATACGCCCATGTTGGAGTACCCGAGACTGATTCCCAGCTCCAGCCTCAGACTCCAGCACCTTGCCGCAGAGGACCCTGGGAGGCCACGGGCGCTGCCAACAGTAGGAGGGTTTCTGCCACCCACAAGAGAGACCTGCACTCAGCCCCTGGCTCTCAGCTGCCCTTCAGCCCAGCCCCAGCCATTGCAGGCATCTGGGAAGTGCCAGAGGATGGAGCTTTTGGTATATCTCTGTCTAAGTAAGTTAATTTTAAAAATTTTACTTTAATCTCTTCACAAATGGAACTATTTTTTTTAAAAATAAGTACTATTTTTTTAATTTATTTATTTTTATTGGAAAGGCAGATTTGCAGAGAGGAGAGACAGAGACAGATTCTCCATTCACTGATTCACTCCCCAAGTAGCCACAATAGATGTAGCTGACTCAATCTGAAGCCAGAAGCCTCTTCTGAGTCTCTCACTTGGGTACAGGGTCCCAAGGCTCTGGCCTGCCCGTCGACTGCCTTCCGAAGACTTTTATCCACTAGGCTACTGCATCAGACCCAGCATTATTCTTTTAATCTTGTTCTCAGCTTCAAATTCTTGTTTTTTTTTTTTTAAAGAAATATATGTAGATAATACAGTATTAATCTAAAATAAATTTTGGGGCCCAGTATGGTAGCCTAGCGGCTAAAAGTTCTCACCTTGAGCACGCCAGGATCCATATGGGTGCCAGTTCTAATCCCAGCAGGCCCACTTCCCAAACAGCTCCTTGCCTGTGGCCTAGGAAAGCAGTCAAGAACAACCCAAAGCCCTGGGACCCTGCACCCGCGTGGGAAACCCAGAAGAAGCTCCTGGCTTCAGATCAGCTGAGCTCCACTGGTTGTGGCCACTTGGGGAATGAATCAGCAAACAGAAGATCTTTGCTGTCTGTCTCTCCTCCTCTCTGTATATCTGCCTTTCAATAAAAATAAAATTTTTAAAAATCTTTTAAAAAGCCTACTTCATATTTAAGAAAAACATTAATTTTCCACTTTTTAATCAATAGTGCAAGGATCTTCCAAAATGTTCACAGGAAATGGAATTAAAAGATAAGTTTATTTTCATGCAAAAGAGGTAAAATTCATGCAATAAAGATTTTCAAAAAGCTCATAGAAAAATACTGCGAAAAGAGAAACTTCACATGGATTTCAATTTTTAAGGCTTATTTTTTATTTATTTAAAAGGCAGAGTTACCAAAAGATAGAGAGGAGACTTAAAGAGAGAGAGATAAAGAGAGAGACTTCCCATCTTTTGATTCACTCCCTAAATTCTTGTAGCAGTTTGAGCTGTGCCAGGCTGAAGTCAGGAGCCTGGAACTTGACCTCCGGAGGCTGCAACTCTTCCACGTGGGCCCAGGGGCCCAAGCACGTGGGACATTGTGGTATTCTCAAGCACGTTGGCATGTGCCTGTACTGAGATGGAGCAGATCAGCTGCGAACTTGCGTCCTTATGGGATGTGGCTTTCATTCACCACACCATAATGCCAGCCCAAGAATTTCAATTTTTTGCCCCCAAATAAATTTATTTTTAATGCTTTTTAAGTCAACTTTGTAAAAAGGTGAGTGTATTTATCTGCAAAGGAGAGAAACAGAGAAAGAATTTCCATCTTCTGGTTCACTCCGCAAATCACTTACAAATGGCCACAATATCTGATATCCGAGACTGTTAGGGCAAAGCCAGGAGGCTAGAATCCTAGCACAGTCTGCCACATGGGTGGCAGAGGCCCAAACACTTCTGCCTTCTTCCACTGCTTTCCCAGGCGCATTTGCAGGGAGCTGGGTAGGAAGTGAGTGGCAGGACTCGAACCCCCACCCATTTAGGATGCCAGCATCGTACGTGGTGACTCTATTAGCTTTCTGAAGTGTACTAGTGTAATGCTACAAATTTTTTTGGTAAGCTTTCAATGGCATTTTATTCTTAAAACTTTTTTTTAAGATTTCTTTATTTTTTTAATTGGAAAGTCAGATATACAGAAAGGAAGCTCTTCCGTTGTTGGTTCATTCCCCCAAGTGATTGCAACAACCGGAGCTGAGCTGATCCAAAGCCAGAAACCAAGAGCTTCTTCTGGGTCTCTCACATGGATGCAGTGTCCAAAGGCTTTGGGCCTTCCTCAACTGCTTTCCAAAGTAACAGGCAGGGAGCTGGATGAGAAGTGAGGCTGCCAGGATTAGAACCAGTACCCATATGGGATCCCAGTGCATGCAAGGCAAGGACTTTAGCTGCTAGGCTACCATGCCAGGCCCTATTCTTAAAACTTTTAAGCTTTAATCCTTTTTACAGTCTCCAGATTACTACACTGGAACTTCCTGTATGCAAATTTTACTAAAGTGACTAGGCCATTTCTGCTACCATATATTAATAATGATGAAAAAATGGAAAAAAAAAATTTGGAGACAGCTACTTGGTGTACTGGGTTAAGCTGCCACTTGCAATGCCAGACTCCCATATGGGTACAGTTCCAGCCCCACATGTGGCTGCTCCACTTTGATACAGCTCCCTGCCAATGCACCCTGGAAAGCAGTGGAGGACGACCCAAGAGCTTGGGCCCCAAGACCTATGCATGGGACCTGACTGAAGCCCCAGGGACCTGGCTGCAGCCTGGCCAACCTCAGCTGTGCAAACAAGAACAATCGGATGGAAGATGTCTTTCTATATTTTTCTTCTCTCTGTCTGTAACTCTGCGTTTCAAATAAATAAATATTTTAAAGAGGAGGATGGCTTTGGCATTGTGTTGCCATGAAGCCATCACTTACAATGCCAACACCTTGTATGGGGAGCAGCTCATATTCTAGCCACTTTGCTTTCCTATCCAGTTCCCTGCTAGTGGCTTGGGAAAGCAGCAAAAGACAGTCCAAGTACTTGGGTCCCTGCCAACCACATCAGAGAGCCAGATGCAGCATCTGGCTCCCGGCTTTGGCCTGGCCCAACCCCAGCCGAGGTCAGCAGCTGGACAGGGATCCCGCTGATGGTGGATGTCCCTCTCCTTCTGTAACTCTGACTTCCAAATACATAATTATTCATTTAAAATAATACATACAGAGATTTACTGGATTATTACATGTGTGAAACAGTATACATTTAGAAGACACATATTCCCTCAGGAAGCTACAATCCAAGAAAACGGCACAAACTCTTGAAGTACAAACGTTTTACATTTCCCCAGAACAATCTAACTTCTGTAATTTTCAGTTTAACTATTCAACAACTCCTCACTCTCAACAGGTACACAATTCTAACATCTGAGAAGACCCTTCCTCCTACATTAGATCCCAAATCTCATCTCCTACTGCTCTGCAAGCCAAGCCCTGCCTGCCTAGCAATGCACAGTATTTGCAGTACCTCCAAGCATCACATAGGCCACTTCAAACCCCCATGCCTTTCTTTGCAGTTCTGCCTTCTTTTTTTTTTTTTTTTTTTTTTTTTTTTTGCCATTACTTGACCCTTTGGCCCCTTTCTCTCCCTACCAAGCTTCAAGATACTACCATCCAGCACTGTCACCACAATTGCTACCCACTCCCACCTCAGCAGCTCCTTCCAGAAACTCTCACAGCACAGAGCACCATCAGCGCACCTGTGTTGTGGCAACTGCCACGCTGCATTTTACTCTGTGTATCTGCCTGTCTTCTCCAGCAACCCTTGCAAACACAGCATTATATTTGTCCCTCTATCCCAGGATTTTAGCCTGAGGACAATTAATAAATTAATTAGTGAAGCAATTGAAGATGCCTTTGCCCGGGTTCCTGCTGACAGCTTCCTGCAGATGCAGACCGTAAGCAGCAGCAGGAAGAATGCCAGCCCCTGGGGTTCTATTGCCCCTGTGGCACCACGGGCTGAGTCCCAGGCAGGGACCTGGTCCAGCACACCCCTGCTCACTGCAGGCATGCGGGAGAGACAGGAGCAGGTTCTTGTTGCTTCCCTCCCACTCAAATAAAAATTAAAAAACACAATACTTAAAGAACTACCTTTTAATTCTGATTATAGCAAATGAAAAATGTGATTTAAAAAAAAAATTCTGTAGCTAAACTAAATTTCCTCTTTGCCAGATTCATGGACTCTTAGGTTTGAAAGAAGTCGGAAAAGAGCACCCAGGACAATGCTCCATTTGATTATTGCATTTCCTTCAACAAGTCAACGTCAAATTCATCCAAATGTCGTTGGTGCCTCCAGGAACCCATTGCCTTCCAAGTCAGGCTAACCCGTTTTGGATACATTCCCTTAGAAAGCAAAACTTCCTTCACAGGAATCCGGTTCCCTGTGGCTCTATCGCCAGCTGTTCCGCCGAATGTTACAAAACGAGTCCATTCACTGCAGTCTAACACAAATGTTCAAATGCGAGACATGTTATCACTGCTCTCTCAAGGTCTCGCCACACTAAACCATCGCCAAAATTTTAGCGGTTCACTCCTAAGACATGGTCTCGGGTTCCTTTTCTGAAAATGGGAACCCATTAGTCACCCATCAGAACTCCAGGTATGAACTCATCAGCAAACCTAGGCGCACATCACCTGCAATGTCATGCCACGTCTGCCTGCTTCCTGGGTGGAAGGTGATCTCCCCATTTTGGAAAAAGCCAAGATGCGAAGAATTGAACAAGGCCTGCTCAAATAATGCCATGCTCTCCTTCGCTGCTGCTCCGGGGTGAGTCATTTCTCATCTCCTGGGCTGGCTATGCAACAGCCAAGCGTCAGCAATCCGAAGGAACGCAGAAGACAAACTGACGCGTTCCCTCCAGGGGCTGAGGAAGCCCACCCAGAGGCACACCTGTCCAGGGCAGGTGCAAGCAAAGTAGGGTCAAATACGGAATAGGGGATTAAAGTCTTAACGCTTTGGGAAGAGGGGGTGTGTAGGGCTGCGAAGGGGGGACGGGCCGGATAAAAGACATTTCCTCCGCAGAGCCAGCGCTAATGTCGGCCGACCACCTCCCTGTGGTGACCACCTCCCGGCCAACAGCTCTTGTACGCCAGGCGAAAAAAAGCTCGTCCGTGCGGACCGGCTCCGGTCATTACCTTCGCATTTCTGCTCCACGAAGTCCAAGATGGGGATGGACCAGTCCGGGCCTCGTAGGAACCCCGCGATGCTCTCCACCACCCATTCCACCTCGTCTTCTTTTTCCGCAGACATCCCGCTTTTCCGGACGGTGCAGATCCCCACGCCGGGCCGCTGGAGCCCGCCGGGGCCCTGAGGCCGCAGGGAGCAAGGAGCGGAACCGTGGGCCTCGCGGCCGCCCCGCTACCAGAATCAAAGCGACAAACCAGTTAACGTAAAATGGTCGCTATGGCAACCTGCGCTGCCGCCTCAGGCTGCGGCCCGGAAGTGAAGCCGGCTGCCCTGGAGCCTGCGCATCTCCAAGGAGCTGCGGAGGGGAGGGCAGAAGCGTTGGAAGAACGCTTCCGATTGGTTAGGAAAGAACAGATCCCAGAGGAGCCCTCGCCCATTGGCCCGGAGTTGCTAAGGCTGCGGGTGGAAGTGCAGGCCAGGCCTGGCTGGGCATCCTAACAGGCGTCGTCTCTGGGTTCCACCGTCTGATGAGTGCAAAAGAGCAGAATTTTCGAAATGGAGGCACGAGGGGCCTCAAAAACTTGACAACTCGTCGTTCAATCCCAGCCCCGCAGCGCCAGGAGCCTTTATCATTACGATTTCCTGATAGAGCAAAGCAGATCTGTGAGACTGGTTGGCTCTGGTGACAATTTGCTGCCCGTGGCGCCAGGCTGGTCTCTAACGTCTCAAGCATGCATGGACATACCTAGAATTAGCCTGTCAAAGGTAAAAGTCAAAGTTAATATTCATTTTACATCTTACCAACTTCCAGTAACTTCCAGGTTACGATGCGTTGTGGGACGGGTCTTCACAGCTCATTCGTGTTCTGGGAAGGCGGTCCCCCAGTTATTCACACAATGTAGCTACGTAATGGAATCATTATAGGAGTGGGTACAACTGTGACACATCTCACTTAATATATTTTCAGCTTTTCATATAAGAAAAGTATTTTATTATCTAGATTTTTTTTTAACAATTTTACTTTGTTGATTAGGGTACAAAGGGTCAAGGGCTACAGGAAAGTGGGTAATACCATTGTTTCCACACTAATATCATTTCCCCCCCCCCCCGTATCTGGGGTCGGGAGAAACAAAGGGAAGAGCCCCACCCAGCCTCCCACCCATCCCAGGTCCCTGATGTGAGGCATGCTCCGAGGGTCCTGCTCAGGAAGTTTTGATAGTTCAACAGTTCTGAATTGCTGCTAATCTCACTGTTCCAATCGCGATGAAACCTATTCAGAGTCCAGTGGCTGACATAGTCTCTTCATGGGTGCGGTTCTGAGACCAGCAGTGTAGCCAGAGGGATCTTCAAAGAAACTTCATCTGAGATGATCCCAAACCTGATTCTTGTGTGAGTTTACCAGTACAGGGTCTGGCACCATCCGTCACCCCAATAAGCTTATGCTCATGCTGGTCATTGCACTTGCTGGGTCAATTCTGTTTCCAGCCCTGTCTTCCACTTGAACCAATGGATGTTGTAGTCCAGCTGGATCCTATCCACCTCATACTTGGTCCTCACGCAAACCAGTGAGAAAAGTACTTTCTTTAGAGATGCAATGAATTCTATAAACCACCCATTAGTCTATTATTACTTCATTTTGGTATATACACATACTTATTTGGATGCATAAACATGGTCATTAGCATGACATTTTTTCTTGTTCTCCCTGTATGGTTTGGGCATGCTACAAATATTCAACCATATTTTTTGCTTCTACAAACAAAACAAACATGTCTGTATAAGAGCTCTTGGTTTTGTTTGTTGGCTTGTTTTGATACTTATTTATTTGAAAAACAGCCTTATAGAGACAAAGAGGAAAGACAGAGAGATAGAGTGAAATCTTTCATCTGCTGGTTCAAGTGGCCCCAGGGACTGGGGCTGGGTCATGTTAAAGCTGGGATCCCTGAACGCCATGTAGGTCTCCCTTGTGGATGTAGAACCTCATGGGCTGCTTTCTAAGATAGATTAGCAGGGAACAGCCAAAGCTTGAACCATTGCTCATACAACATGAGGACATTGCAACCAGCAGTTCAATCCCCTGAGCCACCAATGCAACCCTAAGAGCTGTTATTTTTGTTATTTCATCAGATAGATTGCTGAATGAAAGAATGTGTAACTTGATTTATCGAATCGTCTTCAACTACTAGATTCAATTATTGTTACATACTTTCAAATATTCTGTGAGCAGAAATCTACTAGAAAATAATTTGGGATAAAAAGGCCATGACAGACAGCAGTCTGCAAGCCATAACAGGGAGGAGAGGAGGAGTCTTTGGCCTCTCTGAATGGACCAGAAGAAAAGCTGGCTTATATGAAGTTCCTGCTCAGGTGCATGAAGTAAACAAAGCAAGAAAAGCCTTCAGGGGCACCACTCTATCCTGATTGGTTGATATCCAAAATTGACCTCAATTTATTGGTCAGGACTGAATGGCAAAAAAAAAAAAAAAGGAAAAGGAAGAAAGAAAAATGGAACCTTTGGAAGGCTGTCCATCTCAGCAGCTGTAAGAGGAGCTTGCCCAGGCACAGATGGCTTTTTCCCTCAGGAACACAGCATAGCTAGTCAATGTGTAACTTCTGGATAGCAAATAGCCACTTGGCGCGATTTGAACTCTAGGTCCATTTCCCACTTAAGATCTGCCTTGAAAGTCCCTTTTTTCCCAGGCTTGCAATTCCGAACAGCTTACTATGTGATATGTTCATTTGGGAGTTTATATCTTCTTTATGAATTAATGTTTCAACTAAGCATGAGCATCTTAAGTGTTCCTGTTTATCACTATTTAGAGTTACTTCCGCCTCTACTGAGGAATGTTACAACCTTTTGGACCCTGCCAAGGGTAAGTCACCCCAACTCCTAGACTTCTAAATGTTGTCCGGAGCCTACGTCCAGGTTCTCCCCAATGCAAGAACCTGAAGGCACAGGTAAAGGTCAGCAGAGAAATGGAAGCTATTTGTGTCCAAAACAAAGGTACACATTCAAGAGGGAGAGTGGGCAGCCCTCAACGAGGCTCAGGTCCGTTCCTTTGTGAAATCTGGGAACACAGGGCATGGTGGCTGGGCAGGATTTAACCAGACATTTATACTGGAGCAAATTTGAGAGGCAATTTTGGGTTCCTCCGATTACCTGCTCTTTTTGGAAATCTCCTAAGTGTGATGGTTTCAGGACCACGATGAGAGCAGAATTGGCAGTCTTAGTGCTTGTAATAGAAGGACATTAAAGTTGGCTAGAGGTCATGGATGCCACCGAGTCTCTAGCCACGGCCATGTTGGTTGTTTTGAGCCGCAGCTGGTTCTAAGGAGCAGTGTCATGGAAAGCGCCGTTTTCTGATGCATGGAAGGAAACCAGGAGTGGTTGGGTGGCCTCAGTGTGGACTGGGCTACAGTGAGAAGCTGATGATGTCAGCTCTCCTTGCTAGCTACCTCCTTGGCTACATCGAAAACACAGACAAGCTCAAGAGCTTAACTGATAGTTTAGGCCATACAGGGCTGCTACTGCTTTGGCAAATGTATGCTATGGTTATTGCACTTCATGTGTTAAATACATTTTCTGTGAGATTTGTTCATATGACTTACTCCCTCATTATGCACTATGAGCATCTCCATATTTTTGCCACACAAACATTACTTCATTGTGCTAAGCCCATAAACAACTGTGTAAAGGAAAGTACTTGTGTGTAGGTTTCTGAAACAAGAGCTCATCATTTCCTCTGAATATGTTCTTCAAGGAGAAAGTACTGAATGGATTTTTAAAATCTTTGACAGGGAGCCAACATTGTGGCGAGGCAGGTGAAAGCACCATTTGTAACCCCAGCATGCCCTGTGTGTGTTGGTCTTTGTACTGGCTGCTCCACTTCCTATTCTGCTCCCTGCTAGTGTACCTGCGAACGGCAGAAGGTGGCCCATGAGGCCACTAGTCCTCATGTAGGGAACCCAGATACAGTTCCTGGGTACTGGCTTCAGCCTAGCCCAGCCATGGCCAGCAAATAGATGATCTCCCTCTCTCTCTCTCATCACTCTGACTTTCTGATATGTAAATAAATTTGCTTTAAAAGGAAATATGTTTGACGATATACTAAGTTAAAATGATGCATTATGGGGCCAACATAGTGATATCGTGGGTTAAGCTACTTCCCATAATGTTGGCATCCCATATAAGCACAAGTTCAACTCCTGGATGCTCCACTTTGAATCCAGCTCTCTGTCAATGTACTTGGGAAAGCAGTGGATGGTGGTCTAAGTATCTGGACCACTGCCACCCATGCAGGAGACACAAAAACAGTCCCTGGCTTCTGGCTTGCAGCCATCTGGGGAATGAAACAGTAGATAGAACTCGCTCACTCTGTTTCTCTCAGATATCACTCTCCATAGCTCTGCCTTCCAAATAATCCTTTTTTTTAAGTGAAACATCATTTTAACTTGTTTTCCTTTATTGAGCTTGAACAATTTTGTGTTGATTAGCTTTTTTGATCTTTCCATATCTTTTAACCACTTCTTATTGAGACAGTTGGGATTTTTTCTTTGCAATCTGCCAGAGTTTTTTCCAGTATATTACTCTTATTTTGAGAATTTCAACTCTTTCTCATATGTTTCAGTGATGTGTTTGTCATTTGTCTTTTTTTTAATCTTTATAAGTTTTTCTTTTTGAAAATACAAATTGGGTTTTTTGACAGAGTTTAGCGTGCCAAGTTTTGAAAAGATAGATTTATTACATCCAACATGTAGTTTTGAAACATGTATGCATTGTGGAAGGACTACATGAAGATAATTATCATGCATTATCCTATCCACTGGGAGGAAGGATATGTCGTGTGTCTCAATCTAGCTCAATGTGGCCTTTTGCATGTGCACATTTTGTATTTTCCATGCAGACTTAAACTGTAGGTAATAAATCAGCTGCTTCCCCTAGCGGATAACCATGCTGCAAACACCACTTGCTAGAAATGGATGAGAAAATGTCCTGTGGGTTTTAAACAACCCAGAGGATGTAAAAGGAAAGAAGGCCATCACCATTCTTCAACTAAAGTCCTGTGACGCACAAGATGGATTACTGTCATTTATTCTTCTGTTTTCTGTCTGCAAAACCAGTTTTAAATAGAAGCCCCATTTTGTTCTTTTGTCAATTCCCTTCTTTCATAAAGGAGATATTTGTGTGGTTTCTGATGAGCCTGGAGGCCGCAAAACCACTATCTGACTGCAGTCCACATTACTTGGCATTGCAG